ATCAAACTTTCATACGGTTATCCCACCATTATTTACACTTGAACATGTCTTGTTTGAATCTCTTTCCTAAATGAATTAAGAATTTCTTCTTCTTTTTTAATCACCCACTTCATCCCTATAAAAATTTAAAAAATAAAAAATATTATAGTGAATAATTTCTCTTGGAAGAGTGATTAGAACATTCATTTCACCAAAAGAAGATTAATTAATTACGCCTAAGCAACCAATTTATGTACACAAAGAAAAGTAAACTCACACAAATATTTATTATTCACATATTTTTAGAGGGACTCTTCATTTTTAACATTTCTATTTGGGAAGCAGAGATTAGACTTATACAGGGATGATACTTTATCTTGTGCGGTTAAGGCCCATCCCATTCCGTTCCCTAATGGCATGAGTATAGAAAGAAAATGAAAACTCATTGCGGGTTACGAGACGAGTATGAAATTTGAATCCCACCCCGACAAAATTATGATCTCTCTAAGAATCAAACATTCATATTCATTATCAATGGTAACTTAGTGATACTTTATGGTCTCTCAAAATAAAAGATCAAATATTCAAGATTCTAAAATGTATTTCTAAAAGATAAAAAATTTAAAAAAAACAATAATAATAAAAAACATTTGTATCTATTAAAACTTTATAAACAAAAAGATAATGATAAATCTGTACTCATGCAATTGAAAAATCCCTGCACCTTCCACTTCCAGCATGATAGACATTTTGAAACAAGTGACTCCATCTCTACACCTCACATAAATAAATTAATAAAATAAGTAGCTCCGAATCTGAACTTTTTACCAGGAATATTAGGCCACTACGAAGAACAAACGTACCGTCAAGAAATGATGAAAATTGACGGATGACCGATTGTGGGACACCTGTACAATATGCGTATCACTTTTTTCAGATTAAATAATCATGAGCGAGGGAAAGAAAAGAATATATATATATATATATCAGAGACCGAATCAGTAGTATAAATAATTATAAGAAATTTATGTGATGATTTTTCCTTTACAAAATTACTACTTGTATAACATTTTGGAAGTAGATCTAAATCAGAAAATTATTTTATAAGAGTATTTTATAAATTATATCAAGTATATAAAGCAAAAAAATAAATATAGAGGAATCTATATTTGTATAAATTATAGTATCAAATAATGTTTATATAAGTTGAAAAGCTGGTATCTGATTCGGAATTTTCAATTTTATAACCTATGAGATAGATAAAAAAAAAAATTAAAAATTAAATAACCTATCAAAAATATAGAACCTGATAATGAATTTACTTTTCTTTTCCCTCAGAATAAAGATCAGTAGATCACTATCTTCAATTAAAGAATTTGATAGAGCTGATCATTGAATTGTTTACTCTTTTGTTGGAGTACTTTCTGGATTCCTCCTATTATTCTATAATTGAGAATTTAAAAAGAAATCAACTGTGATTGGGTTTATCAATCATGCAAAGTCGTATAGTATACATGTGTACAAAAAAGTAATATTGAGTGTGAAAAGTCAATAATATCTTGATTTCTATACGAGAGAAAAAGCAAAATTTTTATACAAAGAAAGGGCAAGATTGTTATTTTATAAAATTTGGTCAACATGTCTACCAAAAAACAATAAAACTAGGATTATCGTTGAGCACACGCGCCAAATTTTATGAAAAGTCAAAATAATAAACATTAAACGATTTATCGGTGTGAAATTTGCCCAAACTTCAAAAGAGGTCAATGTAATTACTCAAGACAACTCCACAAATAACTCGAATCTGCCAACATGTGAAGACCCCGCATAAGACTGCCGAGTGATGTCACAGGCCCATAAAAACTCCGGCTAGCATTTTGATATAACTCTTTATAGGCATGTTTAAATGCGCATTACGCATTTGTACAACACTCGCCCAGGGCGAAGCTACATACAAGCCAGAGGTTTTTTAATAATATACTCTTATAATTTGTTTATTTTCAATAATATATTCATAAAATATTACTGCCCTCTTGAAATTTTTTTAAAAATATACTATTGTCTCCCAAAATTCATTTTTGCCCCCCTTATCTTACCAACCGCCGTCCCTGCACTCGCCCCAACTAAATATGAAGTGCTGCAATAGATCCAACACCACTACGTACCTTGAAAAAAAAAAAAAAAAAAAAAAAACAACTTTTATAATTAGCATGTCAATATAAGGGACTTTAAGGAAGTTAAAAGAACAAAAAGGTGCAACATTTAAAAGAAATGTTGGTAACATGCATTATGATTTGAGTATTTAAATGTATTTTTGGTCTCAATTAATGTCGTAGCACTTTTCCACTACCTCCTTTGATAACTCATAGGTTAACCTTTCTTATTTATTACTCAGACAAGCTGCATAACAAAAATCACTTAAAATTGTTAAAAATTTAAGTTTATAAACCCTGGCAACTCAAAATATACTAACAACAAAAATATGCTCCCCAACTCCAATAATATTAATAATAATAATAATAATAATAAAACATAGGATATTCAATTATTAGATTACAGAATGGTATAATAATTGAAGGTTGAGTTTTAATTTGTTGAATATCAGCATTTTAATTTTGTTGAAAATAAAGAAATGCAATTGAAGATTCTGTTTTACTTTTGTTGGTTTATTAAGTCAAAACAACAGATCATAAATCAACGATATATACAAGAAACTGATATTATATATGGTTGTTATTGGTATTGGCAGGCACAGTGTATGGCCGTATGGGCAAGAGAAGGGGGGAGAGAGCGAGAGAGAGAGAGGCGCATCAGTGAGGAACATTGTGGGGTTTGCTTAAGACTGAAAATGTTTGAACGAATCAAGATAGTTGACTTTTCCACACAGCTAGTGTGTGAGAGAGAGAGCCTACAGGTCTCGCACTACGAAATATGATACAACTTGTTTTAGGGGTGATGTTACAACGGTTCATTGTCTTGATCGTTTTGGAATGAAAAAATAATTAGTTATAAATAAATGAATATATAATACTATTTAATAATTTAAATTTTTAAACAAATTGGTTAGTGCTCATCCATTTTAGTTAGTATCAGAATTAAACTCAATCATTGATCGTGTGTTACGCCAAACGTTCGGCCCAAAAAACATCCGAGTGAGTTATTCCTGATAGGTAGGGTGGCCCGACTGCAACGAGGGCGCTGCTAGTTCGGGTGGGTGAGAAGATCCGGATGAGAAAGTGATTGGGTATAAATAAGTAAATATGCAGCACTATCTAATAACTTAAACTTTTGAATAAATGAACAAACACTTAAAATTTATATTATTTTTTTTTTTTGCTTGGGACATAACAATGATACATATTGTTTTGGACACTTCCAAAACTGGGAGAGTGATTTTATAATTATCATTATTTTTTTAAAAAAAAGAATAAAATTAAGTACAATTTGAAACATATAATAGGTTAACAGAAAAATAATATAAAATTTAAAATAAAAAACAAAAATAACAAACATTTAAATCTAAGTTCTAAATTAGTACTTTTATTCATGATTATATGAATAAAATGACCCAAAAAAAAATATTTTATGTATATATTATTATTTTTTATTGTATCCACGCTATACTCCTATCTTATTTTTCTTAGATTTACAATTCATTTATTTTACGGAAAATATTTATATTATAATGTAATTTTTGAAATTAATAAAGAGTGACACACTTATCTAAATAAAAATAAGAAAAAGAGCATGGCCCGCATGATAGTTCTGTTTGTTGCACGTCATTTGAAACTAGGCACATTTTACCTACCTACAATCGCCGTGGCTTTGACCAACAGCTGTTAGTAAAACCCAATCAAGTAATAGCTTGTTAATAAAAGTGTTATACTACGTAGTACATGTTTTTAAATTATATTCTTTTCAAGAAAAAAAAATGATAAATGCAGTTCACCTTTTATAAATAATTTTTAAAAACTAAATAATGTAAATATCCCTTATACCTAGTTCTTACTAACCAAATTAATAATAATAATTTTGTTTTATATTAGATTCTTTTTGTTTCACACTAAAATTGTTTTTTATTATAAAATATTTTTTTTTATGTAAAAGGTTTTACATGTAAAATATTTGGATAAACTACAATAACCTCTCTTTAAGTTTGGCCTAATTACAAGTAAATGAAACATTTTTTCATGTAAAATATTTTTTTAGGGGAGGTCATTGTAAAAGATTTTACATAAAAGATTTTTAAAAAATTATTTTTTAGTGTTTGGCTAAATTCTGAAAAATATTAAATATTATTCTTTTTTCTTTTTCTTTTAGAAAATGAAATTTTAAATTAGATTAATTTAAGATACAGGGAAAAAAAATATTAGATGATGTCGACGATGGTGCTTGAATTAATCTTGAAAAAATGACTTATGCACTTTAAACAAAAGTAAAGACTAAGAAAATAAAAAGTTTTTGCAAAAAAAAAAAAAAAAATGTATTTTACTCAATTTTTATGCTGCCAAACACCAAAAATACAATATATATATATATATATATATATATATATATATATATATATATTGAAAAAATATTTAATGTTGAAACAAAGTGACACTAAAAACATAAACTTTTTAAAACTGTAAGTATCTTCTGAGTTCTGATCTTACCATCCACACTAAACCAATGCCTGTATCTGTTAAAGCAAAGGTGTCAACATGTATAGCCTCTAGTTTTTGACTCTGGTCTACACGTACCACTGTCTATAGACCCTAGTTGGCATACTTCTTGTTCCTATCTACTCCTAATACTGACATTTAAGTTAGATCGATCCAATTGAGATAATATCTCACTCACACGTACTAAATCATGCCTAACAATCCATTTTTATTTGTTAAAAAAAAAAAAAAAAAAAATACACACACACACAGACACGCACTGCTCTTTGAACAGAGATGATAGGGCAAACTTTAACCCGGCCCAGTACCGACCCAAGCAAGAAATTTCAGTATAAAAGCACTAGGAGTGGAGCACACATCTCTCACCCACAAAACTCTAGCTCCATCTTCTCTTCACCCTTTTGTACTTGTTTAGTTCACATTGATTAGTACTATATATCTATCTTGAATATCCATTTTTGCCGAATATGGAGCGAGAAATGGTGAATAGAAAGAAATTAGGGAGTGAAACAATGGAATTAGGTGATCAAGAGAAATGGGTGCATGATTCCTCTGTGGATCATAGAGGAAGGCTACCTCTCCGAGCTTCAACTGGCGTTTGGAAAGCAGCCCTCTTTATCATTAGTGAGTGTATATATATATATATGTGTGTGTGTGTGCGTGTGTGTGTGTGTATATACATATATAGTAGCTCATACTACCCAATGTTATTCACTGAAGTTGCTATGATTGAGTGTGTGTGATTTCATATTCAGCTGCATGGAGGACTTGTTTCATACACATCACATGACTGCATGATATCATTAATTAGAACCATACCGAGAAAATGGCCTTTTAGCATTAAAAAAATTAAAACCACTTTTTATTTATTTATTACCTTCTTTAATTTTAAGTTGTTTCTTTTCATATTTCTTTTCTTTTTGCTTACCATAATCTGGCCGGCTAAGGCACAAAACACGTTTCTTTATAGAATCAAGTATAATAATTAGCTGGAAGGAGGTTAATTAATTTGTAACCATAATCACCTGTTATAGAATCTGAATAAAGGCAAAGGATCACAATAGGCACACTTTTCGGACCTTTATTCACATCCATAATATAAAAAGTAAATAAAAGTAAATATTGGTTGTGTATCAGTGGGTGTAGGGCGTGCATGACTTGTTGCTCTCATTTTCCCCCAACTTTATGCAATGAGCCCGAATCCTCTTTAGTACAGAATGGTTGCACGTGAATGTAGTGACCCGTCTGTTCCAATACTGATGCGAGTGGGAGGCCATGGATTTTACTTAATTGTTCATCTAATGCTTCCATTGCTATCTAGTAATTCATCTAATGGTTCTATTGTGATATAACTTTATGTAACATTTTTTTTTTTTTTTCTTTTTTGATATAGCTATTGAGTTTAGTGAGAGGATGAGTTTCTTTGGACTTTCAACAAATCTCATCACATACCTCACCAAAGTCATTCATCAGGACCTCAAAACAGCAGCAAAGAATGTAAATTACTGGTCAGGAGTGACCACAATGATGCCTCTAATCGGAGGGTTCCTAGCCGATTCATACACCGGGCGGTTTCCTATGATCCTGATTTCATCAGCCATCTACCTCATGGTATATATATATATGTGTGTGCATATATTTTATGTTCTAGCTAGAATATATCACATAGTTATATTTATTGTAACAAGGACACTGAGACTTGTGTACATTTTGTTGGGTGAAATTGATCAGGGTTTAGGCCTCCTAGTAATGTCCCGGTTCATCCCAAGCCTAAAGCCATGTGACAGCGACACGTGCCAAAATCCGAGCAAGGTTCATGAAGTGATCTTCTTCCTCGCAATGTACCTTATCTCAACGGCAACTGGAGGCTACAAGCCTTGCTTGGAGAGCTTTGGGGCTGACCAGTTCGACGAAGATCACCCGGAGGAAAGGAAAAAGAAGATGTCTTTTTTTAACTGGTGGAACTTTTCTCTTTGCTGTGGACTGCTGCTAGGTGTGACACTGGTTGTTTATGTGCAAGACTATGTCAGCTGGGGCGTTGCAGATCTCATTCTGGCAATATTTATGACCGTTACAATTATAATCTTCTATTTCGGAAGGCCCTTTTTCCGATACAGGATGTCCCAAGGCAGCCCCTTGACACCCGTGTTGCAGGTTTTGGTTGCAGCCATAAAAAAGAGAAAGCTGCCTTACCCTTCCAGCCCTTCTTTGTTATATGAAGTTCCCGCCAAATCAAAGAGTTCTCAAGGAAGGCTCCTATGTCACACAAATAACCTCAGGTGAGAAATTATTAATATATAGTTAAATGTTTACATATATATATATATATAGGCATAACAAAAACATTTATTTATTGATCAGACCATTATTGTGAACGACTAGGACCATGTTGTTCCGGACCTTGTAATAATTTCTCCTCATTTGGTCACCAAATAGAGAGATCATGCAACCTTACCATTTCCTATGGCCTTTCTTGATTTCTGGAAACATTGGAAAATTAATCATCTTTTGGATAACGAACCCATGACATTGCATTTTAATTTGTGCAGGTTTCTTGACAAAGCTGCAATAATTGAAGGGAATGAGCTTCTATCAGCAGAGAAGACATCAGATCCATGGAGACTAACAACGGTGACAAGAGTGGAGGAATTAAAACTCCTCCTGAACATGGTCCCAATATGGTTAAGTTCCTTAGCCTTCGGGACCTGCGTGGCACAAACCCCGACATTCTTCATAAAACAGAGCAGTACAATGGATCGAAAGATTGGCGACCATTTCGAGATCCCACCAGCTACCATCTACACTCTCACAGCCGTTGGACTGATCGTCGCGGTCACTATCTATGACCGGGTCCTAGTTCCAGCGCTTAGGAGAGCCACAGGCAACGAAAGAGGCATTACCATACTGCAGAGGATTGGTTTTGGCATGATATTTTCAATCCTGGCCATGACTGTCGCGGCATTGGTAGAGAGAAAGAGGCTAAGCGTTGCAGAAAAAGAGGTCATACAAGGAGGGGAAACAGGTTCTGTGTCCATGAGTGTGTTTTGGCTAGCGCCCCAATTCATGCTTCTTGGTGTTGGGGATGCATTCACTCTCGTTGGCTTGCAAGAGTACTTCTATGACCAAGTTCCCGACGCAATGAGGAGCTTGGGCATAGCTTTCTATCTGAGTGTGATGGGTGTTGGGAATTTCTTGAGCAGTTTTCTGATAACTTTGGTGAATCATATCACTGAGAAGGCCAATGGGAGTAGTTGGTTTGGGAAGGACTTGAACACAAGCCGTATCGATAATTTCTACTGGTTGTTGGCAGCCATGAATGGGTTGAACATCTGTGTTTTCGTGTTCTTGGCAAGAAGGTATTCTTACAAGAATGTCCAGGGAAGTGCTGCCAATGCCGATTCCCGGGTAGGTGATGGGACGGAATCCATGGCTTGATGAAATTCAGTAACTTCATTGCAGGGTTGCAAAATCAATGGAAGAGAGGTTTGTAGGAGATGCAAATGAGAGTAGTTAAATCTGATCTGGATTAAGACGTTCACACACGTAATGGGAACTACTATATTCAGTTTCCGTCTTTCTTGCTCTCGTCTTTCTTTTGTGACACTCCGGATGCTCTTTTTTAATCATCCAAGAATTTCAATAAAATTGATTTTAGGGAAATTATATTTTAGTTCTAAATTTAGTGTTTAAGTATTTGATTGGTTGTTTGGATAACTCTAAAAGTATAATATGATATTCATGTTTGTGAGGATTGGAAAATTGTTTATACTGTTGAGTGTCTAGATGATTTGATATCACATATGTAGTACTACTTGTTAATATCATTTTTAGGGAATAGAAATTTTTAAGGGATGTGAGCGTTCATTAAAAAGTTACAAACTTGTCATTTTAAGTGAACTTAGAACAATTCAAAAAAAAAAAAACGGACATTCTTTTTGGGACAGAAGAATTATCGAAAGAAGATGAACGGATTTTTTGTAATCCGTTATGTGCATTGAAATAGTGTCGTTTTGGCACATCACAACCATTTATGCCTGTGCGTGTGCTTAGTGTACCAAGCAGACTGAATACCTACTCGTTGCTTGTGCGTGTGCTTAGTGTACCAAACAGACTGAATACCTGCTTGTTATTTTGGTGCATAGATACGAAACTCAATACAAACCCATATTAAAACTCGGCATAACCCGTAATGAACTTTTATGCACCATTCAAAGGTGTACCATTTTGGTGCAGCACGTTGACAAGATCACTTGGCCCAAGGAAAGGGAGACCTTCGATCTTCCTCGAAGACCTAGACAGGATTGAAATTTTGGACAGGCAACCTTAGAAGTTGAAAAACTGGCTACAGCCCATGGATCTGGGCTTCTGGCCTAACTAGACAAAGCCCGTAACTATTACCTTCGGGTTTTTATTATTATTATTATTATTATTTCTCTCTCTCCTAAAAATTGAATGTCTTCTTATCATATTTTTAACAACTAAATGCTATTTACAAAATAAGGCAATTTATTATTATTTTTTTTTAAAGTTAGTTCTCACAAAATAATTCTTAAAAACTGTTAAAGAATCAGATTTTTATATAATTTTATTATTTTTAATTCTCAAGAAATAGAAAACTATTATATATATATATTTAAAAAAAAGGAATATTGTGCTGTTTTGAGGAGGAAAAAAAAAAACATGCATATAAATTTCAATCTTTTCATTTTTTTATTTTTTTATTTTGTATGCCATTTGGCACTCTTTGATTGGAGAAAGCAGCAACCGACCTTCCACAGCAAAGTCTCCCACTGAGACTTCACGTGCAATTGGACAAAGAACTTGAAGAATATCCAAGCACCACAATCACATATTCGGCGAAGGGGATATGATTCAATGCTCGTGGCGTCATAGTCAACATACACATCACATGCGTTCATTTCATCAATTACAAATAATCTGCCAGCTCATCTCCAAATCAACGGTTCTGATCTCACGTAAATCTAAAGAAACTTACTGATGACGCAAACCCTAATAACAAGTTAACAACACGCGTCTACTTGAAGTAATTCTTCTTCACAAAGCAATTTGAAGTCTGAAACTGCGTGCCGGTCCCACTACGACGTCGTTTGCTCTTGGTTATCCTCGTCTTCAAGTTGTTTAAAGACGTAGACTCTTCGAATTCGATCTGAGCTCTCGCAAAAAGTGAGCTTTTTAGGTCATTAGATTTTCACAGTGTATGTATACATAAATATATATAGAGAGAGAGGATATGCAAACAGAAGCTAGAGTGGGAATGGTGGTGGAAGCGAGGGGGCAGGTGGCGATAAATTCGGGCCACGGCGGCGTTGTCGGCGAAGGCGGTGCTGCGCATAAGTTGGCGCAATCGCAGATTGGAACGATTTCGCAGCTTCTCGCCGGCGGTGTCGCCGGCGCAGTGAGCAAGACCTGTACGGCACCGCTCGGTCGCCTTACTATACTCTTTCAGGTTCGTTCCGCTGATTCTGTTTCTGAATTATTTTTAATTATTTTTTTTTAAATGGATATTGAAATATTATATTGAAATTGTTGAGTTGGGCTTTTTTCTAGGGTTATTGGAAGTGAGATTAATTACTGATATGGGTTAGATTTAGATGCGATGACATTGTTTACATATGGATTAATGAGTATAATATATAGCTTTGGGGAAATAAAAATTGTGTTTTGGAGGATATTGACTTCAATGCCCAGGATGATTGTATATAGAGAACAAATTGTTGTATATAGTTTAGCAGCTTTTCTGAAGTGGAACCAATCATGCTGGATTCTCAAAGGGTGTTGTTAATGAGGTGATAATGCCACATGGGTTGGTGAATAAGGACATCGGGGACTTGCAAGGGTCACTCCACCTAGAGTTTGGGGTGGTTGTTGAAAAATAAAAATAAAAAAGCTTTTATTGTGGTCAGTAGAAAGCATATTAGGTGTTTGGTGACCCATTATAATAAGTTTTTTTCACAATTAAATTATTTTTAAATTTTTTGGGTAACAATTTTTTTTAACACTTTTATTGCTAATTTTACAATGATATCCTTTAATATGAATCTATGATATTACCATATGCGATAATAGCAAATTTATTAAGGAAGGGGTGTAATTGTCTTTATAAAAAATAAAAGGGGTGCAGTTATCTTTATAAAAAATAAAAATGACAAAATTGTCTTATGAAAAAGAGTTATCTAAAATGTTCAATCTCTACTCAGAATTAGGGATGGCAACGAGGCGGGTTTGAAGCGGGTTTCCCTAAATCCCGTCCCGCCCCTTTTAATTTTTGTCAAGTCCATGCCCGCCCCGAGACCCTCGACGGGTTGGATTTTCATGTTCAGCCCCGCCCCGTTGGGAAATACTGTGCCTCCGTGCCCACCCCGCTAACAAATTTTTTTCTCCCACTTTTTGGAACTTAAGCTCCTGCTATTTGAATGTGGAAAGCCTGGGAATGGCACAACATAAATGAAATTATGTAACATAATTCGGATAACATAATAAACAAAAATAAAAGTTTAATACAACCAAATCACAAGAAGTTCTAAGCTCCAACTTCCACCATAACCAAAACAAAAGTAAATTTAATACCAAGTTTACATATATATATATAAAATATAATTATATGCTTAACGGGGCGGGACCCCTAGGATATGTATACTGAACCCTTACCCGCCCCATGACCCGCGATAGGTACAAAATTTGTATCAATGCCCGCTCCAACAATATAAAAAGTGTTCCTATATCCGTTATTAATGGGGCGGGATGGGGCGGGGCCCCGGCGGGGCGGTAAAAATTGACATCCCTACTCAGAATGCAGTTTTGAAAGTTACAAATTCTAGCAACACTCTACTGAACTAAATCTGGCAAGCATTAAAAGCAATTCTAATGGTCACCAAACATATCTAAACGCAATTTTTCAAAATAAAAGCGTTTTTTAAAGAGTAAAGAAGTAATCCCAAATGGGGCTCCTAATAGGTTAACCTTTTGAGTTGGATACTCCTAACTCCAACAACTGGTATCAGAGCCAAAGAACCGCATGTGGACTCAAGATCTCCTAGCTGGCAGATTGCAGGAAGACAGTAAGACCGGTGACTTTCTAACCACCGGGGTGAGCCTCGTTTAAAGGGGGGATTGTTGGGTAGTTGAACGAGTCCCTCATTGGTTAGTGAACAAGGAAATCTTGGACTTATATAGGGAAAGAATCACTCCACCTAACAGGTTAACCTTTTGGGTCGGATACCCCCAACCCCAACAATTTTAAGGGTACCTGGTAATGGAAACAACTCAAAGAGGCTAAGAGCTAGTATTCCCATTCACCTATTTTTGGTTCAAATTTTCAAAATAATTTTGTTCGAATTTGGATATCTTTTTCAGTCTGGTTTCTTTAGAGATTGTGTAAGATTGCAGTTTTGATATACAACAATTACAAAAGTTGATGTCTTTTTTTATTTCCATTTATTTATTATTTTTTTTTTTCAAGCATGCCTACAAAAGCCCTTGTCCCTGCTGGCATTATATGATCATATACAGAAATGTATTTATTTATCGTTCGTTGTGTACATGTCCTACTTTATTGGGATGTGCTGTCTAGATATGTCCATGTCTTCTTGTGTCCTTACACAAATCATGTGTCTGTATCCATTCCTCTGAGCCCTAGAATGCCTCCCTTAGAAGGGTAGCTTGGAGGGATGGTGTTGATTAGTATGTTGTAGGAATTACATTTGGAGTCCCTATACCTCTTCAGTGTGCCATGCACCACTTCCGATGTCGTGACTCGATGATGAGATCACGAGAGAAAGGGCCAAGCGGGAGCATTGCAGAAGGAGAATTTCAGATGTCAATGCCTTGAATAATATTTCTTTCTTGTTTCTTAGCCAACTCTAATGATGCGTTTGGTGTGCAGGAATGGAATTCCCATTCCAACTATTCTTTTGTTTGGTATGCAATTTAAAGTGGAAATGGTCATTCCATTAGAATGAAAATCCATTCCTGGGAATAAAAATCCATTCCACAACAAAACCTATGGAATTGCCATTCCATTACCAAGTAAATTTTTTTAATAAATCAACTTCCCAAAAAACCTGCACCAAGTCCAAAAATCACCACTACCTTCCGCCTTTCACCACCACCACTCCTGACTTCCACCACTACCACCGCCTTCCACAACCACCACCGTCATCGACTTTCACCACCGTCCACCGCTTTTCACCACCATCGCCGCCACCACCATCGCCTTTTACTATCGCTTTCCACCACCATCGCCGCCGCCACCACCACCATCGCCTTTTACCACCGTTACCACCTTCCGCCACCACCATCGCCTTTCACCACAGTCACCGCCGCCGCCACCTTCATCACCACCGCCACCGCCGCATTTCACCACTGCCACCGCCTTCCACCACCACCACCGTCGCTGCCTTCCACCACCACCGCCACTCCTTCCACCACCACCACCTCCACTGCCTTCCACCGTCACCGCGTTCCACCACCACCGCCTTCCAATACCACCACCTACACCACTACCACTTTCCACCTCCACCACCATCTACCACCGCCACTGCAACCATTTATTTTTAAAAAAATTATAGAAAAATGTCATTTTGTTAATTTAATTTATTTGTTATAAGAGGGATACATATTTGCAACCAAACAATAAAATGAGAATGGCCATTCCCATTCCCATTCCCATTCCATTCCCACTTGCATTCCATTTCATTCCTGCACACCAAACGCAACATAAAAGTTGTGATAGGCTTTGTTCAGTGGAGTTAATTTCTTTGTTTCATTCATATTATAAATACAACTCCTGTCTAAGTTCTAATCTTCACCTGTGTGTTGTATGATATCATCTCTCTAGGTGCAAGGCATGCACTCTGATGTAGCTGCATTGAGAAAGGCCAGCATATGGCATGAGGCTTCGCGTATTGTTGGTGAGGAAGGATTTCGGGCTTTCTGGAAAGGGAATCTGGTCACCATTGCCCATCGTCTTCCTTATTCTTCCATCAGCTTTTATGCATTTGAACAGTACAAGAATGTTGGTACAAACATTCTATGAAAAGTTTCCATTTTACATATAAAATTGTTTTGATAGATCATCCTTGTAGTTGGATTACATCTGATTGAATTGACTTTTGCATGTTGCAGTTACTACAGTTGATTCCGGGACTGGAAAGTCACGGGGAAAATCCAAGTGCAGACCTTTGTGTGCGACTTGTAGGTGGTGGTTTGGCTGGAATTACTGCTGCATCCATCACATATCCTTTGGATCTTGTGAGGACACGTCTTGCAGCTCAGGTAATAATAAGAGGAGCATACCCTTTGTGTGTTATGATTTATGGGCATATTTGTCTCGTTGATTTGATTTCAGTTCCTTATATTTTCATTGGTTGTGTTGTCAAAGTATTAATTGGCATGGGATTCACACTTCTTTGCTCTGCAGTATTATAATTGTTTCGGATGATTTTCCAAATTAAAATCATTGATAAGATTTACTTTTTGCTTTACTTGTTCATTGTTAAGGGGGGTTTGTGCAATTTACTGGGCATGCATCAATGCCTGATGTATTTTTTATCTATATTTTTCTTTTCTTATTTGGGTCTTGCCCCATTTGCCTTTTTAAGAAAAACAGTAGTCGTCTTAACACCAACTCTAATCCTTGTCCAAATGTTGCCAATATTTAAAAAATGAGTAGTACTGGCAATTTATACAAAATTTTCTTTCCTGCTCTCTTTTACAAAAATTTATGTTTCTTTGATAGGTTAATGACCTGTCAATTTATACAAAAAAATTCCTCAAAGACGAGGAGTAATTGAACCTTTACTTTTAAGCAGAAAAGAGTTTGTGTAATTCTTTTTGTATTTAAGTGATGATACAGTCCTATATTAATTATTAATAACAGAAGCAAGAGAGCATTCATCAGGAGGCCTGAGAGAGATAAGAAGAACACATACTGAAGACGTTTAGGACTGTCTTGGGAAATAGTCATGTTTATTTTGTTATTTGTTTTGTATGAATTCCAGTTTATTTACAATTCAAAACAGGCCTATTGTCATATTGAGCTTATCTTTGCCTAATATCTACTTTAGAAGTTGCAAGTTTTGCTGGAATATTTCATTTAACAAGTGTGCATTTGCTTGCACTTATTTTTCTCTTTTAATTAGTCTTAAACTTTGCAGACAAATGTAATCTACTACAGAGGTATAGGGCATACTCTACGTACCATTACCAGGGAAGAGGGCGCCTTTGGCCTCTATAAAGGACTCGGGGCAACGTTGCTGGTATTGTTCTATTTATATTGTTATCCAGTGTATGCTTGATAATATCTTTTATGCTTAGCTGACAGAAACTTTGACACTAATGTAGGGTGTTGGGCCTAATTTAGCAATCAGCTTTTCAGTTTATGACACCTTAAAATCTTATTGGCACTCACACAGGTACTGCCTCGTGAAATAGATTCATTTGTTAATGTCTCAAAATGGCTTCTTGTGTATACTACATCATTCATCCATCTTCTTTCCATTTTCTTTTTCTTTTATTTTTTCCTCCTTTTTTGCTACCTAAACTCGTGCATATATTTCTATATCCAATCACTAAAATATTTATCTTGGTGGCATCAGATCCAATTACTCTAATGCCCTGGTCAGCCTTGCTTGTGGTAGTCTTTCAGGCATTGCATCATCAACAGGTGAGTGATTTAAAGAAACCTTGTGCGGAGGAAGCCCCTCAGAATTTTCAAGGCTGTGCCATTTTCTGCTTTTAAATGATTTCCATTTCTTGACTAGTGAAAACAGAAATTGATTGACTTTTCATCTTTAGTAGTTTTTCTTCTTAATGACATATTTGGTGATGTCATAATGCTGTTTCCTACATTTTCATTCTTAAATTTCGTTCGAGAAGAAATGGGACTGCAAGAACTAACATGTTCTCTTTATATGTAAAGTGAATGGTGTCTCTTTATATATATAGTGAAAGCTGCCATAATGTTGTCTCTTTGCCCAAGCGATAACATCTTGATTAACCATCCTCAACTTGGACTTGTATAGTGAACGCTAATTAAGTATAGTTATTGAGTGGTTTTATTTGAATTATGTTATCAGATATTGCTAAGAAGAAGTTACTGCCTGTAGCTGTCTTCAGTGCTTTAGGTGCAGAGAAGCAGGTTGAGGTGTAGGCTCTGCACCAAGTATTTAACCAGACCCTAGAGCCTGAGACCCAGACAAGAAGTTGGTTTATATGTGGCTTTTGAGAATATTAGTAAGGAAGTCAACAAAATAATGCATTTTTTTTTTTCCTTTTCAAACTATATTTATTTATTTAAGAATTTTGCTTGGGGTTAACTCCAACTCCTACTTTTTATTTTTGGATAACTTGGCTCTACATACATTGCAGTTGGTTCTGTTATTCTCAGGTGAACCAATTCCATTCTCCCAGTAAACAAAATGTGAGAGGTGTCCTCTTTGAGGTATGCTTCTCACCTAGGCTTCCTTTACCAGTTGCTCACTAGTTATGCTGGGATCCTACAAGTTTTACATTCATTTGTTGAAAGCTCCTTTAATTAATATCAGATGTGGTTAGTCATTCCAACTCCCCAACCAAAAATAATAATAAATAATTTATTATTATTATTATTATTATTATGATTATTATTATTATTATTATTATTATTATAAGGAAAATAAGAAATGTGTAGTCTCCGTTTTGGCAGAAAATAAGAAAAAAAAATTCCCTAAGAAAAATAAAAGAAAAGTTTTATGGAAATGTTTTCTGAAGTGAGCTGGAGAGGCATAAAATATTTTCCTAGCATCTGTAGAAATTGATTGGATAAATTGAACTAATATTAAAATATCTATGGGTTTTAGGGTATATTTTATCTTAAGTGGCAATGCTTTATTTCAAACTAATAATTTACCAGAAATTGTGGGGAAAACTTCTCTCTTTGCTACAGAATTTTTTTTCATTTGCAACACATATTTCCGGAGGAAAATTTTGTTGGAAGTATTTTTCGTAGAAACAAACTGAGAGCCTTTAAGGCCTCAAGTTTCTCAATGGGGCTATATAATCATGAGATATATTATCAATTCTCCAACTTGTCTTGGACTTCTGGGAAATTTTTAATAGATTTATTCCTGTTACATATTTTCTTTGTTGGGAAAAACATTCCCAGAAACATTGTTTTATCAAAAGTACCGGAGCTTTAGTGACTACATATAAAAAACTAATGGATGCTTTCTAAGCAAACGAGATGTGATCATGGTCAAGCACATGTTGTGGGTGGCAGAAACCACTCAGCAAGAAACATGGGCCGCAAAATCTGTAAACCTTGAATTGCTTTGAGCTGTGTAAACCTTGCTTTGGGTAAATGTGATTTCAATAACTTGTATCAGAAGGAACCCACTGCTGCATTCATTTTTTTCATTTAACCATTGATTCATGATAGCTAGGTTTGCTTCATTCAAGGTCTAAAGCATGATAAAACTCATATTATTGTTGCAAGTGAGTTATACATCATTTTGACCTATTGACCATCATTGACTGCTAATTACTACATGTTCACTGTAATTATCAAAAGCAATTTCATAAGAACTGTTAGTTTGTTCAAATCGGCATAAAGAAAATTTCACCTCTAGGTTGATTTTCAACCATCAGCTAAGCAATCAAAACTCCTGCCGTTTGTCCAATTCTAATAATAAGACAATTGAGAATTCTCTCTTAGGTTCTTAACATCAGTTATCAATTATACTAATGGGATCATGAATAAGTCAACACATGACAAATCTGGTAGAATATGATATTTTTAATATTCCCTTTTGTAATGCGTCTTGTTAATGCTTTCAGTTACTCGTTCTGCATTGTGTTTATATTCGGGTTAACAATGCATCCACTCTGAAGTTTGACAGCCTTGATGAAATTCACTTTAGAAATATCGTTGGTTAGATAATGATTGTGTACAGTTCTTATTTTGTTCTCTTATATACTTTCCAGTAACATTCCCTCTGGACCTTGTGAGGCGACGGATGCAGTTGGAAGGAGCAGGTGGCCGAGCCCGTGTTTACAAGACAGGCCTTTTTGGTGCATTTAGACACATAATCCGAACTGAAGGTCTGCGTGGTTTGTACAGAGGGATTCTGCCCGAGTACTACAAGGTAGTGCCAAGTGTTGGTATCGTTTTTATGACTTACGAGAAACTGAAGCAGCTTTTATCAGATATACCTGCCAGTTGATCGGTTGCTGCTCATATCTAAAGATGAGGATGTTGATGAAAAAGGATGGGATTGTTGGTTGTAGTAGTTAGAGTTGAAAGAAGGATTATTATGTGATATTTCCCCTGGTTAATCTCATGGTAGTAAATTGTGTATGCTGCTATGAAGAACCATATTTTTCCATGTACAGATTGGGAGAGATTTGCCCAGATAGTCACATGATGTACTATTTACTGTTGTTCTTCAAACATCTCTCAGTAACGTGAATAGCATTGAACATTATTTATGGCTCCTTTCTTTGATTCTCACAATCTGTAATTGAAGCAGTAGCTTTAGGGTAGAAATGTCATAATTAGTTGGTTCGGATCTTAATCTCTATTTTTTCTTTCTAAATTAGTATGTTGTCGGTACTTTTTCAAGTTAAGGAATAATGGAAGTAGAAAAAAAAAAAGTACACTCTAAAATTAGTACCAAGTTGTTATGTACTCCTCCGGTGTTTTGGTCCTTTTGGAAACTGTGCTTTACAATTTTGATCTCATAATAGTTAGGTGTAATTGGGATGGAAGGAGTACACTTTATCTGAGTGTGGGGTCCATGCTCAATCTTTTTTTAACAAAATACTTGGACATAAGATGGCCCAGCTTTTTGTATACAAGTGAGACATTGTTTGGAAAGCTACTATTCTTTGACCAAATATAATAGAAAGCAAACTCACACTCCCTCTATCTGCTCTCTCTCTCTATCTTAGTTTCCTAAAAGGGTGTCCACCACACACACACACACATATATATATATACACACAAAATATATTAGTAAAACAAGTGGGTTTATTATATTATTTCAGGCTCTTACTCCTCTTTCTATCTCACTATGTATAGAATGTAGATATAATTCAGGTGGAAGCGCCCCCAATCGCAAGGTTTACAGAACTAACATGTCATACATGTCGAGTGCCAAGAGCAATCACATTTAAATTGTGCGGTAAATTTTTTTATTGGAGTATTAGTTTGTATGACAAATGTAAATTGCCACCCAAAGTAATACAAAATACAAAGAATTTATCCTTTACATTTACATAGAAGACATGCTTATTTTCTTCCTAGTTGAGAAGACATGCTTATTAGCTTTTCAACTTAATTTCCCATGGAAACTAGGGAGAAAAATCGAAGCTTCCATGATCAACTCAAACTTTCTGAGGGGCGATTCTACGATCTCCAACAGATAAAATAAACCTAAGGAATCTCCAACAGAGATGATCCGTACACGTTATAATAAAAATTACAGAGGAAAACTTCCAGTTAGGCCTATGTGGTCCAGAGTACGACGTAAACCATATTTATTGACAGCAGTATTAGCAGCCCTAAATCCTTCCCCATAAGCCGGGGAAGCATCATGAGCAATCTGATGCATGAAATACTCCCCCAGCTTATTCTCAACATCAGACTTTCCGCCTTTCTTAGATGACGAATACGATGAAGATGATGATGTAGATGGCATATTTCTGGATCCAGGCATTACCTCTGCTTCAAGCCACATGTATGAAAGTACTTGACAGATACCTTCCTCTACCTCAGGATTCAGGTTTCGGTAACCTGCATAATATATTGAGGAATTTATAAGGGGAGGAAAAAGTGTTCCTAAAATATATATATATTTAAAGCGTGCATCCACAAATAGATTTGAATAGTTTGGATGAGACTTGCCACCAGCTATTGTTCCTCCTGTCCATCATGATTTCGTTATTTATCAATATGTTTCTCTATCACTACTTCATTCTAACAAAAAGCAATCCATATCGTACCTTTAAGACGTAACCAGCCATGCATCAACTCATGAGCAAGAATTGCACCTGTTAGTAATCTGTATCAAGCAATGATGTCCAACTCTGTAAGAATTCAGAACCTTTTGCATAGGCTTGGCACTTTTCAAATGGAACTGACATATAATTTTGAAACAAAGGTATACAATTTCCAATGTACGCATAAAAATATTGGTTGATTTTCTAGAAAGGAAGAATTTGACAAGATTTATTCTCAACATAATCCCATTCCTATAAAAAGTGAAAATAAGAAGTGTATAAAAATTTTGTTTAAATAAACCTCAAATGGTTTGATACTACAGCCTGATAATGTTAAGGCCCAGGAACTGTGGATCTGATATTTGTATTCTTCCAGAAACTAAAAATTATAACTAGAGGAAGCCATCGCAAGTATTTAGGCATTTGTGATCCTAAGCTAAATCTACTGTAATTGCCACTAACATCCGTAATTTAATATAAGCTCCACATCTCCTCAAATACTACTTTTGAGTTTTGGCAATAGCATTTTTTTTTTTTTTTTTACCTTAATGTTCTTTTTGTACAAAATATAGAGAAATTGAATGAAAATGGGGTAGGAGGGATGGAAGAGATATGTGTAGAAAGAGGAAGGAGCCTTTCCTAGTGCCGTTTGAGTGAAAAGAAAGAAATTAAAGAAGGAAAGACATATTGCATGATTCGACCATTGTTATGTTATACCCTTCAAGAATTAAAGTGAAAAGCTTTTACCACATTAAAGCTTTTACCGGATGATTCGACTATTATTTTTCTTAGAAGAAAGGGGATTCAATGCAATTTAAAATATATTATGGTTAGTAATAAAAATAATATAAAATTTTAGCAAACAAAAACAACAAACATCTAACTCTAAGCTCCAAATTAGTGATATCATTCATAATTATATTAAAATGAGCAAAAATTATCTTTTTATATTGCTGTTGTTATTATTATTATTATTATTGTTATTCTCTCTATATATATATAAAATATATGATGCCGTATCTGTGTCCTATTTTTTTGAGATTTGCCGTATGGCCATGTCCATATCGTGTCGTATCCATGTCCGTACCCGTGCTTCCTAGGTTCCTGGTGGCTTCTTTAGAATTTTTATAAGTTGCTTGTTTATATAATAAAATGATAATGTCATGGGTCTATTTAATAAAGTTTTTGAAACTTGATGACTGCAAATCTGAACTCTGCAAAAAGCATGGGGGATATGCAAATAATACAAAAGGTTTTAAAAAAAAAAAAAGAATGGTATGTAAACTCCAAATTGACATTACCTTGGGAGGCCATACAGAACGAGAATGGCTGTAACTTCACATTTTCTAGTCAGCTTCTGATGTTGTGTTCTCATTCCTACTAGTCGGTGGCCCCCAATTCTTGGCCTTTTATGTATCTGGATATTTATATTTATTTTAAAAAATAAATAAATAAACTAATGAGGAATCTAATAAATTGGGTACATTAGCAAGATTATTACAAATGTAGTAAAAAGAGCAAAAGCAAAGTGGGGCCAATGTCATACACTGGTTACAGTTTGCTCCTCAGATAGGCATAAACCCCTCGTCTCAGGCATGTGATGGTAACCCTGGAAAGAACTAATCCTGAATCAGAGAATTTTCAGAAATCAGGAACAAAGGAAATGGAGGAAGAAAGCATTTAATACATTTTTCTCCCCCACAATAGCTTCATTTAAGGCTTGTCTTTCAACCAGAAGCATGGGAATTTGCTGATCAAGTTTCATGTTCATTCCTTCATAGTAGTCTCTAATGGCATGATAAAGGGGTTGACAGTCACCAGTATCCATGATAGCGGATTCCATGCACTCTAAACATAAACTCCGTCCATCTCCTAAAGATATGTATCTCATATTCCAAGACTGCAAGAATGGGGAGGGGAAACAAACGATGACATATCAAATACTGTAAGTGTGATGATCGTTTGACATCAGAGGCAGATTCTCATTAAAAATATAATAATAAAAATTAAAATGAAACGTTTTGGAGGTAAAGTTGTTTTAAATTTAATATAAAAATTAAATTTCAGTAGCTCAGATCAATACCTCCAAGCGCTCACAACTACAGCAACGGGCAGTATCATGCTCATGTGAAGGACAATATTTCTGGGTCCAAAATGGATGGCACCTATACTCAATCAAACCAGCTCCGTTTGTTGGAATCTGAAAATATGTCAAAGTAAAATTATAAACATAAATACGAGATCTCTAATAAATTCATATTGACTGCAATACAAGGCTCCAAAGTACATGGTCTCAGCTAGGCTACATATGATGATTCTTTCTCGACCTTATTTACTATCACAATTCCTGTTAAGGAAATAAAAGCATATATTCTTTTTTTTATAATTAATATTGATATAATTAGAGAAAATAAGCAGCTGCCATTTTATTCCTAAACACAAAACAGAATTTTATAATTTGAAATGTGCATAATATATATGGTGAATATAATATTTCTAGATGGTTTTCCATTTGTAAGTGTGCAGTAGTATTTTCAAGGGGAAGGTATTACACATAGGAATATAGGATAGTGGAAGTCCAGGAGATTGGGCATGAATGAAAGCTGAGACAGCCTTGGCAGGATGGGGATAGAGAGAGAGAGATGGCAATACAAGGCCCAAGCAGTGTGAGTTCCAAGCCAAAGGACACCAGGTGAAGAATCCCAATAATGCTGCCTTTCCTTCTTGAGAAATGAGGCAGGGGTCATCCCTTTTTATAGGTGCCCATATATATAGAGGAAAACATTGAAAACGAGCATAAATGCCAAGTTGGAGGATAAATAGCTAGGTGGAGTCTGGAGATTGTAATGGAAAAGCCACAATGTACCAATTTGGCAAAGGAGAATATGTAGGCACAATGGAGAATGCACTGAACACAATATGTGGTGAATTTGAGGTCATGCCATGACCATGCATTTAGCTCAAGGAACTCCTTCAGGCCTCAGCCCCACTCCCAGCACAGGTAGAAATCAATGAACTGGATTCCATCAATTGAGGCAGCTTTAATTCAGTTTTAATGATGCTGAGGTAATGAAGATGCAGTGATGGAGACTGCCTCATTCATAGAGGCCAAAGTGCAAATATAGCAAGAATAGTAATACCCCAGTACTGCCCCTAGTGTTGAGGTTAGGACCAAAGCACCGTGTGTAATGACCATTTCAAGGGCCGAACATGGCATTGCACCAGGGGGCTGGCTAGATAGGAGGAGGATAACTGACCAAACTTCAGGCACCATCTAGCAAAGGGTGTTTGGGGTGGTCAGGAGTGTGCTGTGTATTTGTGCAATAGTGACATGTGGATGAGGTATAGTAGGCTCAAGAATATACACCTCTTATATAACAGTCATTTTTAAGGTATCACATGGAAGATATAACTATTCGTTCATTTCAAAATCAAGATACTTCACAATCAACTTTAGCAGATACAACACAAAAGCTATAACAATAATATATAGTTATATTGTTAAAGAGATCTTGAAATATAAAAAAAATTATCAGAGTCTAAAGCATAACCAAAATGTCAAACAATTTGGTCATTCTTATGGGTATGCTGGTATCCAGAGCTCGAGTGGGCAAACCAAGTTAAAAGGAAAGACATCAGTGAGATACTTCACTAACTAAACCAATTACTGAAGCATAAGATAATAAAGAGTGCACAAAATATTGAAAAAACAATCCTAATGTGCCTAATTACTGCTTCCTTACAAATTGGTGGCAAACTTCACATTTGGGATGGTTCAACTCTTTGAAGCAGGACTTGTGGTATGCATCCCTCCCTGACAAAGAAAACTTGAATCAACAGAAAAAAACCAATAAGAGGTATATACAAGAAAAATTCAACAGCATCTAGTCCAAAATAATATTTGCAGTAAACAACACAAGAACAGTCTCTTTTGTTTGGGGGTTTCTGTGTTCATTTCTTTTTGCCCTCTTGTTTTCCTTTTTGTGTGGTTGGGTGTGAGGATTATTTAAACACGGGGACATATTACCTCATGCTCGGTGATTGGGAGACCACAAGAACGACAACAAAAGCACTCCGGATGAAAAAAAGTTCCCATGCATCCCAGATAATTTCCATAGCCAATGTCACGGTTGCAGCCACCACATACCCTGCAAATTATAGGCATACACATACACGATTGATTAAATTCCAGGCTAAGAAACTCATGACTTTCCTGATAGAGCATGATCTTACTAATGCTCTGATAAGAAAAATTGAATCACGAATGGCCTGAAGCTATTGTATTGATATAATCATCCAAAGAGGCTTGCAGGCATAACTTACAGCCTAGATCATCTTCATTGGATATTAGTGATAAAAGCTAAAAATTGAGTACACAGAGGAGGAAAAAAAATTAAAAAATTGCATTACCAGAAGCTAAGGATATCAGCTTCTTCATTTTGCCAACTAAGGAAGTCAAATGAACCATTCAATTAAGTAGAAATCTTACTGAGCATGAACAATTTAATAAGCATTCTGGAAATTCTGCATGCACATAGGAACACACTTATGCTTCATACTCAACTAAATTCAACAAAATCTTTCCCCAACCATTTAAGGTAAACTATGTGAGTGTTGTTTCACCATTTTACTCTTTTCAAGGTCATAACATCAATCGAATAATGTGTTATCATATCTTTCCTCACTATATCAACCTTTACTAATTTGGTCTTTTTCACCCCCAAGCAATCGTATTGCCCTCAATGTGAACCACGTCACTTCATCCTTGGTGCAATTATTGATTGTAAAAATAAATATGCTTCATAATCAGGAGAAAAATCTAGGAAACACTAAACTAAACCATAATTTGAAATCAAAATATAAAACCATTAGTGCTTGCGTTAGTCAACCAGTTACACTACATTATTAAAAGACATTAAAATGATACGAAATTTTCATGTCCTGTCCGCTCACTTGACTTTTTACTCGGCACCAATAAATGTGGTTAGTGAACTTGGCCAATAGCAGCCAATCACAAAGTTCTTTCAACTATGCTACTATGTACTAAAGCCAAAACAACTGATACTTGGTATTAAACACCTGACATTTTTATATGTTCAACTAAGCAGCACACATGTACAAATTACAAGTATGAATAGAACTATTACCTATAACCTTTGGGATAATGTGATGTAGGGGCACAAGGAGGATATGAAGATGAATTGAGGCTATCCTGTACTGCCCTTGCGGGATCTTCATCACTATTTGTTGGCAATCTGTATCCTAAAGAAATCCAAAATCTCAATTGGAACTTTGTGAAATTTAAGGAGAAATTTGAAAGCTCTTGTAGCTATTAGAATAAAGGGTGGGGCTAATGAGTGTGATAGGAGTGTGACCTTCTACAGCTTTGCAAAATAAAAACCTACCATTTGGTCTCTTCAAATCTTCAGCCAAAGAAAGTGCAATTGCACGGTCTACTTCCTCTGTGTCTTTCCCAGCTCTAGAGCGATCATCCTAGTGAAAATTGAGAAACTTGTAAGAAAAAAACTTTCAACGTTTTAAATCAACATGTGAGCAAGAGATTAGCCAAATAAAGTTTTTTCTAAATAATCATAGCATAGAATGCAAGCACCACTAAACACTGTATGACTTCTAGCGACCGGAACAAACAACACTGATAAATCTCCCAGGATGTATCACATAGGTTTCCCTATGTTTATAGTGACACTTTTTAAAATTTGTTCATAAAACTAATCTCAAGTACTACACAATTACGGCAATTATATAAACACTTATTGAGCAAATGATGATTGACATATACTGTGACTAACTTGGAATGAACAATACATGATGAGACCACAAGTTGCTTAAGTCTTAGTAAGAAACACAGATTCGGAAGGATAAAAAAGTTGAATGATTGATAAGAGAAGCATCTAAAGTATATAATAAAACCATAATCATTGCAATATGATCCAAATTCCAATAATGAAACAAACTAGAATTTACCAAGGATCTAGCTGGAACAGGCCAAACCATATTTTCCTCGCCCAGAAACTGTGGGCGTTGCCCAGTTCTTACTCCACGATCCGACCCGTTCTTGAAAAGCTTACTCAACCATTTCATGAACCGAGACCTCCTCTCTGTGTAGGAAGAAACAAAGTGCCCTGCTTAAACCCAGACCACAATATGATTAATCAAAGCAAAGCACAATAATACAATACAATTGATTCCAGAATCCATCAAAATTGAATGCAATATCATTGAAGCAATTTGTCAAACAAGTTGGTGACGTGAATGAGCCAGCCATTAATAAACACCAAAATTGATGATTGTAGAACAGATTGTACCGTAAATACAAGGCTGAGAGAGGTGGTTGACGCCCGAAGAAGACATGGGGATCGAAATGTATGTATAGATTTGCCGGAATTTGGAGGAGGAGAAAAAGGAGAAACGGAATGAAAAGGACGGATGGAGAGAGTGAAAGAGAGAGAGCAGAAGAGGAAAAGGGTATGGAGAGAAAGGAAATAGTATAATATAGGGGGAGAAGGAAGAAGAATGGCATAATTAAAAGCTAAGCTTAGAAAGAAAGGAAGAAAGAAAGAGGGAATCTCTGATTGATAGAGAAAGTGTAGAGAGAGAGAGAGAGAGAGAGAGAGATTCTTAGCTTGGGAAAGCAATGAAGAGAAAGTGGAAGAGATCGGGAAAAGATGAGAATCTGCTGAGGCGGAAGAAGAAGAAGATGATGCAGAAAAAGTAACGGCTGAAAATTCGAAAGGAAAAGAGCTGCGGTAGGCACACGCACATACTATGTGTCTACACAACTTTTTCAAGTTTTGAAGGGAATTTTGCCGGGTAAAAGGCCCCAAATTGAGAAGTGCCCCTGATACTGTTGATAATTACGGAACTGTCCATCAACTAGCTGAGGCCCACCAACGTCTGGTGGGGCCAAGTAGTAAATTAACAGACAAAATAGGCTTGATTAGATTATCTGAAAATGAGAGAGCACGATGGTCGATTCTTGCATTACGACATTTTATTCCTTTATTACTTTAGAGACTAATTAATAATTAATTATACGTGCAGTAGAACAGTTAAAAATTGATTTATTTAAAAAAAAAAATAGAACTTCATTAATTTTACTCTCTCTTTTTTTTAATAAGAATAGTGTTTTTTTTTATTTATAATATGTTCCACTATAAGGGTGGAACTGAATTAGTTTCTTTGTAAAGTACAAACTTTGATCTCTTAAGTAGACTTTTAATTTGTCGTTGCAATGCAATTAAATCGAATATACAACACAATACAAATGTAAAGATATTTTATTCTTGATTTAACAATGTTGTAATATTCCATATATAATATGTTGTATAAATTTTGCATTCTCAAAATAAATGTGTTGCATGAGTTGTATAAGAAAGTCTACAATATATGTAAAATATTTTTTTCAAAAAATATAAATTTTTTAGGTAAAATGTTTTCCTTTATTTTTATTTTATGATATTTGGTAGGGGTAGGATTCGTGTTCGTGTCGTGTGGATGTAAGGGTATTATACTAAATAGATAAATCCAAATCTAACCCATTTAATAATTATGTCAAAAATCTTTTAACACTAATCCAAATCTAACGCATAGGTTCATAATTTTACATGCTAAGTGTAGATTTTCTGAAAATAAAAATTACTTTTTAATTGTAATTGGGTCAATAATTCATGGTTATAAATTCTAGGTATACAATTTATATATATATATATATATATATATATATATAATTATTATTTATAAGTGACATTGTGCTGATTACTGATTTAATAAAAGTTAAAAGGTTTGTGCATAGCTTTTTTTTATTTTTTTTTATTTTAACTTTACAAGTGATTCTAATAACTTCATTAATAATGAAAGATATGTCAGGTATATGCCTAAAAAAATTTTAAAAATTCTTACCGTCAAGTCAATCCTTCCAAGCAGAAAGCACAAAGGAATTATGTCCACATGTCAAAATCATTTGAACTGATTTTTTCTTATTTTAGTTATAAATATAAGAGCAAAATGCCCAAAAAAAAAAAAACGATGATAATAAAATTTTAAAACTACATAGTAATTCTTTATAAAAAAGGAAACTTTCTCGAAGAATAAAAAACACTCCTAAATGTTTCAAAATTGCGAAAAATCCATCATCCTTCTATTAATGGAGCAAAAAAAATAATAATAAAAAAAAAATGACTTTATGTTAATTAAAAAAGCAGAACTCTTAGATAGACTGATGGTAAATTTGTTTTTTTTTTTTAATCTGGAGCAAGAGATAAACAGAACCAAGAACAAAAAACCCAACAACAAAAACAAAAACACCTCAACCAAGAATAGACGCAAGATCCTTGGCAATTGTTTGACAATTTTGAAGTAAAAAGAATAGACGCAAGATTTTAGTACTTCAATACCAATAAAAGGAAGCAAAGTGGTTAATCAAGACCAATTTAGAGCCAGCAATCGATTTTGTTTTGTATTTTTTACTTTTGCCAGTGATTTTGCAGTGAAACAAAAATACCAAACGTATTTGATAGTGTCTATTGCGATTTGAAAAGTACCAAAATGCTTAAGAAAAGGACGTCAAAATCGAAAGCTAAAAAATGATGATTCTAGTCGCTACCGCACTGTAGCTAAAACATTGTTCACAAAAAAATAATAAAAAATGTAAAATGACATTTTTAACTAACCATTTAAATTTTCAAACTTGCTACATTTTCTTACCAAAATATGTTTATATTTTTGGCTTCCAAAAATCTTACAACAAATATACATTATCAAATAGGTTTCCAAATAATATTGAACACATTTCAAAACATAAACATTATTTCTACTTCAGACTAAACTAAAAGTACAAAGCAATTGTGATTGCCAAATGAACCTTAATACTTTTAATTTCTACTATAAGAAAATGGAATTTATAAAAAGGCCCTTGTCTAATTAGTTGTTGTATGATTACAAAAACAGGGGACAAGTACAACACATTATCAAGTCAAAAATCCTTAACACTAACCTAATCGGTTTATTAAACAAATAAACGTGTTAACCTATTTATTAAAACGAGACATTTAATATTTAATCAAATACTAAATAATAGAAAAAATTTGTTATAATTAACCCAAATATTCAAAAAAAAAAAAAAAAATCATAAGTCATTAGATAAGGTTTTTGTTAAAATGATTTAACTATTCATAATAATTGAGTTTAAACACATAACATATTACATAGGTTATATCCACAATTATAACATATTGAGTTAAATGGGTTATAAACGGATTACACGAGTTGAACCCCTCAATTCTAACCCGACACGGTTAAGTAAACAGGTTAATCTTGTCGACCTTTTCATGACCCAAACCCGTTTATAGCAAACCCAAACCCGTTTAATTCGTGTTATGTTGTCGTATTGTCGTAATTTGCACCCCTAGTGTTTGGTAAAGGTTTAAGTCAAGGTTAAGACCGAGCAAATTAGATGGGAAGTGTAAAATAAATTGCCTAAAATTAATGGATAAATTATTTTTGATAAATTTTAATATATTTTTTTAAAAATATTTTACAACAACCAAATACCTAAAAAATATCTTACATTCGAAAAAATGAGATACCAATGCAAAGCAGCACTTTCCTTCTAATGCTGGCTTCTAAGGAAAGCAGAATTTCTTCTAATGTTGGCTTCTAAGTCAAGACGAGCGAGATTAATTTTATATACCCAAAGAATCAACCGATCTACAATTTAATATATATATATCTTTTTTAAAAGGTAATGTACAGTTTGACATTGGGTAGTAGACATTAATATAAGGATCTGATCTAACTGGAGAAACTGAAAGTGGCACAAAAACTGAGACTTGACAAGTTTAGGCCAAAGCTTTGCCACTCTGTTGCAGTATCTGATCTAGCCACTTTATGCTCACAAAACATAACAAAGATGCGTGATGAGTTTATCAAAAAAAAAAAGATGCGTGATGAGCCAACAGGTCACTAGAATATTACTCTCTTCTTTTAGGCTGTCCCTGTGATCGTCTCAACAATGCACAGGGGACCAAACTTGTTGGGGGCAAAAATCCTCTTTATTCCGTCCAGTTAGTAAAGTACATTACAAAAATAATGTGACATTTCCTAGGATCTAAGATTCGCTACTTGGTTTGTTTTTCATGAAAAACCTCCTCCTTAATCTCCATTGATCACTGCGTGCACAATCACGCAAACACCACTCATCCTAAAGTCTTTAATATATTTGGTGCGTGTAATGCATCCAAAGGATGAGGAGCGACAATCCTCACAATTGCAACAGTTGCTAGAAACTCTAATTTGCAAGTTCACAAACACTGTTGGTTTTACATCAATGGTTTATGCTCATTATAAATGTCCTTGTCATCCTTGTTGTTGGTGGAAGGATTTTGAGAGGGATGCATAACCAATGGCAAATTCAGGAATTGTTAATAGGTGGGCTAATATTTTTTTGGGTGAATTAATACTGGTAATATTTTCTTTTTTTAAGCTGGACTAAAATTTATTATAATAATAAAAAAAAATTGGAGTGGGCTTGAGCCCACCAAAGTACCCCTTGAATCTGCGCATAACACTCAAAAAGAGTAGCACTAGAAGGAGCAAGAATTCATTCTCTCCGACTTCAGGATTCTCTCCATTGTCAAGACATTTTCGTTGATACACTCGGTACGTGGACAACATCGTATCACGTTAATGATCAAAAGTAAGGATTGATTCATTAAATCGGGAGGAAGAAGAGATATCACTAAACTACAATCCATGAAAAACTTTTCATATTATCTTACTTTTAGAATCAACATTACATTTTATATTCTTTATTTTCTTCTTCTCGATATAGGTTTTATGATTTTTATCCTTTTGAATGCACCAGATGACTCTGGTCACTGGTATTAGTTTCTTCCTTTTCGCGTGTTAGGGCATGAATGATCAACTGTGTGGGGTCCGGATTTCTAATGGGTTGGTATAGATCTTCCTCATATGATCCACCATGGATCCAAGTTGCATCGGGAAAATGAGGATGCAGAATATGGATCGGATTCATTTAACCCACAACCGGTCCAAAACCAAGCATATATATATATATATTTATTTATTTATTTTCACAAGCATATTTTAGTTTATTTTAGTTTGCTCTTTATAGAATTTTGTTCAGAATCATATATCTATATGGATCTTGACGATAAATAAATTAAGACTCTGATTTACATGAATTCCTTCAAATTTGTTCCATTTCGTCCCCAAGTTGACATGCATGTGTGTGTCACTGTGTGTTATGTTTTTGCTGCCGCTTTTTATGCAATTAAGCAACGTTTGCAGGTAGTTTAATTTGATGAAATTGAGAGTATGATGGGTTATAGGTGAAGCGGCGTTTGGTTGGTACAGTAGACATTTTACAAACCCTTCATACTTTTCTTTTTTTAACCCTCGCAAGCAAATATAAATTTTATTTAAACAAAATTAATCTTTTTACTATATTGTATCCCAACCTAATTTAATTTAATTAAGCAAGGTTATATGAAATAAGTTACAATGATTAGAATTGTCATAAGAGATTAGAGTGTGTGGAGTCCACCGCTTCTCACCTCTCTATCTCTTAATTGGTGTCATAATGTCGTCAATTATAAACTTTTCAAATTTCAAAATTCTCCATTTTAAACATTTTTTAGTGACTATATATATCATTGCAATATCTTCAATTATAAACATTTTTTTTTTAATGTAAATTTATCTTTTTACTATGTCTTTTGCTGACCCAATTTAAATTTAAACAAACTCGTTCCATTAAAAATAATATGAAATATCTTTCTTAGAATTTTCAAAATTGAAAAAGTAGATATTATATATATATATATTCATTTTTTCCACTACTCTCCAAAGCAACTTTTAATGGAACTTCCTCGGGTTCAAATTGGGTACAAGGACGTTCAAACGGACTCGAATAATTACAAAGGCGCCCCCGTTCACCTTTTGAAATCTCTCTCTCTCTCTTCTCTTTCTCTCTCTACATTTGGTAGGGTTTCACACATCAATAGAAGAAATGATCAAATGCACTCGCTACTCTACACCTTTTGCCCCAAAATTAGCTCTGTACTCATAATTCATTCAATAATTTCACTTCTAGATTTCCATAAGTCTCAAATTTCGTGTCTTTAGGTTTATGTGAACCCAAATTTCTCTCAAGCGCACACACTCCCTCTCTAATTCTATGTAGGAGAGAGATCATGAACTTCACGGATCCATCAATGGCACTACTGGCCGCGAGTGGCGGCGACACCGTGAAGCTCTTCGATGTCTCCGTTGAGCCCGGCGATCCTTGTACATTGAGCTACACTCCTTCGCCGGGTTTCCAAGTCAACTCGGTGAAGTGGAACCACACTAGTGAGCACATTAAATATAGACAGTCTTGTTCTGGTTAATTCGATTTTTGTTTTGTTGTAACTTGAAAAATAAATGCAAAAGGTTTTGATTTTTGTGTTCAATTTTGCTCAATATATTCTGAATTGGGTTTCCAAATTGGGATGCACTTGTTGCAGATTTGGTCGTAGCTAGTGCCGGAGATGATAAGAAGATATCGTTGTGGCGGAAAAATGGGGAGAGTATGGGGACCATTCCAGTGGCCGGCACTGACGGTGGTGACAATGTTGAGGTAAATTTTAGTCTCACCTATGTTTATAAGGGGTTAGTTCATAACATGATTTCCAAATATAGGCTTTCTGAGAAATTGGATAGCTAGATTGCTATTTTGATTAGAAATAGAGTGATCATAATATCTCTTCAATGGGAGATAGGGAATAGGTCAGAGTTGGACCTTATTTCATACATTTGTGTCTTTATCAAAGAAGTTATATATAATTTTAGTGCACAAAAAAAAAAAAAAAAAAAAAAAAAAACAAAAAAAAAAAAAATTGAAAATTGTTGATCACGGTAGAAATAAGTTTATGACTTTGGTTACTGGTAATCTTAAATTCCTTTTTGCCTCTGTTTATTTCAAAATAGAATGTCTTCAGGTACACTTTATAATATGTTTTCCCCAAACTTAACTGGGAAATATTCGTCAAGATAATATGAGTCTTATAGACAGAATTTTTCTTGTTAACATTTCTAGGAGCCTTATGTTAAAACAAAATAAATCTTATTGTGGTTCAAATTTGGATCTGAATGGCCACATTTATAAAAAGAAATAAAATTATGTTTCATGTACGGTGGTATTGGTTACTGAACTTCCTACTTTACGTTAGTGACGGTTAGGAGTGAGAATTTCATTCCATGTCAAAATTGTCACTTGCTAATTTATGAACTCGAGTAGATACTTAATTGGATGCAATTCTAAAGTGTGTTGATACACAAATGGGTACCTGTGTACTTTTTAGGTGTTATTGTTGTATTTTATTTGTTACAAATTTGTGACTGTTGGATTTTTTTTTTTTTTTTTAGTTAGTCCAATTCTGCTTCTCTTTCTTTATTAATTATTTTTAATTGTTATCTGCAGGAATCTATAATGAGCATCAGCTTTAGCAACAAGGGGTCTAGGTACATATGTTCTGGGGGAAGTGGTCAAGTTGTAAGAATATGGGATTTGCAGAGGAAGCGTTGTATTAAATGGTTGAGGGGTCATACTAATACAATAACAGGTGCAATGTACAATTGTAAAGATGAGCACTTGGCTTCCATCAGTCTTAACGGGGATCTTATTCTTCACAACCTTGCTTCTGGTGCAAGGGCTGCTGAACTCAAAGATCCTAATGATCAGGTTGTTATTTCCTTCCAACTTTGGTTTGAAAGCCACTAAGAATCTGGGTAATGATTTTCTAGTGTCTATTATGTGTATTCTTTTGTTTTCTGAAATGCTAAGTGTTTGTCTGATATTTTTTATGATCAGGTTCTGAGAGTGCTTGATTATTCTCGTATTAGCAGGCACCTTTTGGTGACAGCTGGTGATGACGGGTCTGTACATCTATGGGATACTACTGGTCGCAGCCCGAAGGTGTGTAATATGATATATATTGTTTTAAGATGATGAAACTTGAGTGACCACATAATATATTTCCTTCTTTGTTATATCTTTGTGCATTAACCTGTTGACAGCATTTAGGCTATTTGCTACTCTGAAATTGTATATCCATAATATATTCCTGAAAAATTGTACTCCTTTCATGTTTATTTGTTATTTGAATATTCCTGTTAAAGTACTGCAAAGTGTTAAGAGCAATTGGGGGTCTATAGCCAGCCTATAGTCCAGAGACAACTCGGGCTATCCACAAAGTGATTCTCATACATTTCACACTTCAGAAACTGTGTTATCACATGGGTCAGTCCTCTTGTGCTTTAAATGGTGTAATGGGAGAAATTTAGGACCATTTTTGGGGGTAAGATGCTATTTACTAACAGCAACCTCAATTTAGACTTTAGACACATTGCTCGAATCTGTAAAATTGAATTACCACATTTCACATCATCACCTATGTATTGTAAGGATCTTGGATAATTTTTTTATAGTTTTATGTCTTGTGTTTTAGGTAACAAAAGATGTTTCAGGTTTCTGATTGGTTATTTTTTGCTTTCCACAGGCTTCTTGGTTGACGCAGCATTCTGCACCAACTGCTGCTATTAGTTTCTCACCATCAAATGATAAGGTCTCTTCTTTACCATATCAATTAGCCTTATTTCATATTTGTGTTGGAGAGGGAGAGAAAACTGAATCTTTTAAATTACTGTGATCATTGTTTTTTAAGCTCAATTTCTTGGGTTCAAAATATGGCTATATCATCCTGTTGGCTTATATCTTTTTCTCCCATGGCACTGTGGCAGGTTATTGCTAGCGTTGGTCTGGATAAAAAGTTATACATTTTTGACTCGGGGACTAGGAGATCCGTATTTTGCATTCCTTATGAGGCACCTTTCTCTTCAATGGCTTTCAGAGACGATGGTTGGACACTGGCAGCTGGAACAAGTAGTGGCAGGGTTGTATTTTATGATGTTCGAGGAAAACCACAGCCTCTCACTGTTCTTCGTGCTTATAGCAATTCTGAGGTGTTCTTTTCCTTCAATTATTGATGTTGATTATAGAGAGATCTATAGGTTTGAAAATCGCTAATTGCTCGCTCACCATTTGGAATATTTTTGCATACAATAGCATATAAGGAAGTGTAATTAGATTTACTACTAAATGACACTGGAGTATTAGCTGACGATATGGAACAGGACTGAAAGCAGTGGGTCTTCCTTTCTTTAGGCTTTAAGAGCCGACTATGGCTTTTGGTCACGACTACTACCAACTTTTTGGAAGAAAAGAGTATGCAGACCATTGAGATTTACGGATCTCTCTGCCAAGATCTCTACCATCAGTTTCTATTCAAGAGGGACCTCCCTCGGGAACGTGTCAAGGTTCAGAGTTTACTCGTTACTCATTATATTAAAAAAACGTGTCCTTCGGCGAGGGGCTACTGTTCTAGAATGGCTATTCGTCAAATTGCTCCTTATGGATATGCTTTGCTTTCTTTTGCAAGGCTAGGTTGTTCTAGAATCATTTGTTTTTATGCATAAGATTGTCACATTAATCTGATCCCTTTCATCCCTCCTTTCTTGTCTATTCAGAAAAAGAAAATATTTTCGCTTGGGAAATGTTATCTTGAAAAGGATAAAAGCCATGATCTTCCCATCAAGGAAATGCATATTCATCAAACTATCTTATTTCATATCTTCCTTTTTCATCTATGATCATTGGCTCATTGCTCTATCTCCAGCAATCTATTATGACTGATTTTTAATGTCCAGTTTCTTTGACACTTCTAGGATTGAGAGTCACAGTTTTGGCCCCAATCTTTCATCTGTCTGACCGTATTATTTTATGCAAACTTTTTCTTTCTTCTTTGCAATATTTGAAGTTTGGACAATTATATTATTTTTAAACAGCTTACATTGTTTCTAATTCCATTTCCATCCTCAAACTTCACCTTGGCATATTGTTTTTCAGTGTATGCCGGCTTCTGAAAATTTTCATTTGTTTTCACATATTGAAATATACAAAATTGGTAGTTAAAAATTAATTTTATAAAGTTCTTTGCGTGCTTGTAATACTTATTTATATTAAATGTTAAGGCTAAGTAACATCTAAAAATGGAAAATTCAAAACAATAATTTGAGTATATTATGTTCAGAAAACCTTTTTTAATTCCTTCAGGCAATAAAAGCATGTCATTTATAAATTCTTGAGTTTCCTGATCCTATTATCGATTCATTTAGGGAGGAGGACGCTCCTTAAATTTCTATACTGTAGATGCGGTGCCCTGTTTTGTCTGTTGGGATGAATTCACTGGTGGGGCACTTATAGGGTTGGCCGGATGGATTTTGAACCATGAGTTAAATATACTATCAGACGATAGAATTATGTGATATATTCAGTACAAAATCTTAGTGGTGTGTTTTACGTGTGTACACATGTATGTATATAAAATAACAATTGATGTTAGAAACATGCTCATTTCATGGGTAGTTGTATAATAGTCTTATCAGTGATCAATTTAAGAGTATCATCACTTGGCAATGGGTTCATATTGACTATACAGCTTTAGCCGATTGACAGTTCTGACTGTATTTTCCTTTAGTTAAGCTCTTGCTTGTAAATAATATTTTATCATGATTCTCATCAGGCTGTCACAAGTCTATGCTGGCAAAGATCAAAACCTGTAAACGTAATTGAAACCAATTGCACAGCTGAAACTGCTCTTCTGGGAGGTGCTGTTGAAGATTCAATCCTTATGCCTGACCCACTCCCTTCTGTGTCATCATCAAGCCTTTCAATACCCACAACGGTATCTGGTTCTCGAAATCCATCTTCCTTTTTAGCAACCAGTAGCAGATCTATATCAAGCATGCTAAATTCATCTACAGCAGAGGAAACACCACTTCGAAGCACTTTGTGGACTGGTGGAACTTTGGGAAGATTACATGCTCCTCGTAATTATAACTTCAAGGATGACATGGAGGTGTTTTCCCCACTTGTGGAAGTTCATCCGGTTACACCATCACTTGATAAGCTGTGGGATGAGCGCAAGGGAGCAAAGGAAGATCATATAGCCGTTGAAAAGAAACATTCTCTGCTGTTTCCTTCATCTAGTAGGAGATTTCCTCTTTCAGAGGAAGGGGAGAATGATCATCCAATTTTTGACTGGAAGTCTAGTTCAACTTCGAAGCAGGTTCACTATTTGCCTATCTGATTCCTGATGATTTTAAATTAATTAGAAGGCATGAATCATCTTCTCATTACGTTATAGATAAATATTGTCTTGATAAGTCTGGTCCTTGCCTAATATATACCAATTTTCATATGAAGAGCATGAATTGTTCCTTCGTTAAATCATGCTGTACACTTGACAAGTTAAGGATTTTTTTGACCTTTTAGCCTGTGACACTCATAATGCTCTTCAGGTGGCAAAGTTCCAAGATTTGAGAACTTCTCTAGTTCCCAATGAAATGTTTTGATTGTTCAGATAGATTACTGTATATTCTTGCAGGGGTTTACCCCTCATTTTTTTCTCAAATGAACAATTACAATATACACCAACAGTAAGATTTATTGACTGTAGTCCATAATCAAAATGTTCAGGTGATATATGACCTATGGAAACATTAATAGAAATAAAATAGTGTAAAAACTGAAAAGACACAATAGAGACAGAAAACACATAAAAACTGAAAGGAACTCTAAGATGAGTAAATAAATATTGCTACATAAGATGGGTTGCAGCCTTGCAGGATTCAGTGTAGGCACTACCACTACTTTATATAAGAATGTCTCAGAGTTTGATGTCAAATATCTGTTATTGTCCATATATTGTTAAAAAATCAACATCATACAGCTAGATTAAATAATATGAAGAAATTGTTTGTTATTCTTTGCATAACATTATATTTTTATCTTTACGTTCACTTCCTTCAGCTTCCTCACATTCAATTTATAGAAAATGGTTATCATGCATTAATTGGATAATTAAAAAACCATATCCAAACTAAAAATAAATAAATCTAGGGCCAAATTTTTTAAGCCGTACTTCATTTTCAGCTTTTGACTGCATCTACATTTCATTGAAGTATGATTTATGATATAAAAGGAAAAGAAATGAAAACAACATAAAACCTACTTTATCTGAAAATTAACAAATCTATCCTCAAATTGTAAACTACAAGCTAAGTTGGTATTAATGAATACCTAAATATTCAGTGATCTAAAATATAAGTTAAAGGGGAAAAAACCCCACAAATTATTATTATTTTACTTTCTTGCAGTGCCTTTACTGAAATGGTGCAAAACCAAACAAAATTCAAACTTGTATAAATTTAAAGATGTGATTAAATATAGTCAGATTATGAATGTCAAGTGTTAACGTGGGGTGAAGGTTGTTATAAAGTATAACAAAAAGATGTAGTGTAGCTTTGGTGTCAGAAATACATCACCTATTCAAGTTCAAAATCCATGTTGTATTGTCACCAATATCTAATTAACATTACCCGCTATATATTTGAGTTTGTCATAGTTATTGTGTGGAAATGGTAATATATGACCTCTTGTTAGAGCACACCAGTGTACATCTGATAATCAAAATTAATGGTCTCTCTGCACTTTATACGTGAAGTTTTCTCTCTTCATTTACATTTAAAGAATTTCTCTCTAGATGCATGATGGCATCCATTTTTCTTTTTGCGGTTGGATGTCAAAACTGGAAAGTTTTCCTTTCATTCCCATTTAAAGAATTTTTCGCTCTAGTAGGGTTTTTAATTTATCATCCCTTTATGCAGGATGACATCCGTTCTACTTTTTCACAGCTGGGATCTACTCCTGCTTCTTCCAAGAGTGATGACGACTCCTCTATCACTCCTCCAGAAGCTTGGGGTGGCGAGAGATTATCTGATAAATTTTCCCATCATCGTCAACAAGTTGGTTTTCCTTCTCGTTTTGCAATGCTGTCATCTAGTAGTCTGTCGTCGGGATCAATATTTTCTGGATTACAAGATCTTTCTTTGTCTACAAGCCAGATGAATATGAGCTCCCTAACAAGTTCAAGCCTGAGCCTAGCAAATATTCGTAGCAGAGACACCTCCTCCAATCAAGAGACTTCATTAGGTTTTCCAGAACATGCTCCCCATAGTTCCACATCGCTTTCTACTGGACAGGCTAGCCTCGAATCTCTGGGACCTGCATTAGCCCTCCCACGAAGATTTTCCACATATGCAGAGAGAATAAGCACTATTCCATCCTTCAGCAATGGAACAATTCTTTCGGTGGGCTCACCAAAAACTAAGAAAACAGGAGTTGAAATGAGGGAAGAACTTTTGAGTAGCTTGTTGTCAAGGCCTGACATATCATCTGCTACAGAAGCAGTGATTCTTCCATCTATGAATGTAAGAAAAATCATCATATCATATTTAAAATTTTGCTTGTGCCTGCATCTGACCACTGAGTTGTTACTAAATATGAGCTTGACAGATCATTTGTGATGATTCATCAAGATAATTGTTCACCATTGTTTTTTTCTAAAGAGAAAGGATCATGTGTTGATCCCATTTGGTACACCGCTTTGATTGATTGTTGTCGTTCAAACTAAAAAAAACGTGAGGTGGTGAAGATGTCTTTGATGATGAATCATTGCAAATGTCTTATGTTTGTTTTTTTTTTTTTTTTTTGCTTATACAATTCAACTTGCTAATACGTGTAATATTGACAGGGTGGAACTGCAGTACCCCAGAAAACCCAATCTCAGCCTGAACCACAACAGGGAACTTCCTTTACACTACAGCTGTTTCAACGCACTCTCGAAGAAACTCTTGCTTCTTTTCAGAAATCCGTTCATGAAGATATGAGAAATCTTCATATAGAAATTTTAAGACAGTTTCATATGCAGGAGGTATATATCTGTGCCTTTTGTTCTGGCTGATTCTTTGTCTAGCTTTTGCTCATGGGATTATTGGCGTCATTCTGCAGATGGAAACGTCAAACATGATGAACTCGATCCTCGAAAACCAAGCTGAGCTAATGAAAGAAATCCGGTCCCTCCGGAAAGAAACCCAGCAACTCCGCCAATTACTATGAGCTTAAGCAAAGATTTTGCTCCTGTTCCATTTTTGAGTGGCTTTGTTACATAAAAAAGAAAAGGTCTGGTAATGGCGCTCTAGCTTAATTGCTATTGGCAGCTATTGTACCTAGTGACAACAGGGGTGGAAAGAGAATTCAGCGTTGCCAGCTGGGTTTAAAATACGTATAGATGTGATTGATTTATTTGTTATGGGTGGTGAATTCATGTACAGATTTTGTTATAATACACTTGTTACAAACTCGTTTCAGCTTCATCTGTAAATGGTGCTAATGTTATTCTTTAATCTTGATTCTTGACCTTGTAAATATTTCAGGGTGTGTGAAATGAATCAAATTATCATCTGTTGTTAACTACACACTTTTCATGAAACATTTAGCTAATACGTCAAACAGATTCATGAATGAATCCTAAGATATTTGAGCTTAATTGCATAGATCACTTCCAACTGTATAACATATAGTATTAAATTGTAGATTGCAGAGAATATTCAAAGCACAATTTATAAATTTTGTAATTAACAAACTTTTTGACATTCTTGCCATGATCTGTAAAGATCGACTCCATTAAGCAGCCAGGTCAAATATTAATACAGACAAATATGATAACCCGCCAATACCAAAATAATTCGACATCATTTAGTACAAGGGTTATTCATAGACTATGAATGATTGAATTACAGTTTGTTTCGCCTTTTGCTCCCAAATTGCAGAAAAAAAGTACTTTCAAAATTTATAGCTACAAAACAAAGGAAATTGTTTTTTTTACAAACATTGTAAGGGAGACCATACGAATGGTTGAATTGATACATTTGCTTCTCTCTTCGACTGCATGCGTGGAAGCACATCCTCTAGCACACTAGTACCATCGAAGCAATTCCTCTAACACTTGATACAAGAGAACTCATTCATGAAGAAAAAAAATTGTAATTCAGACCCATCGACGCCTTTGCACTCGTGAATACAAGAACCTTTTGCAAATAGAACCGAATGTTAGTTTCCAACTAGATCCATGTCTCACTTCTTGATTAATCTCAATACATCACCCACAAGATGTAAAGAACCAGTTACGAGGACCTGATAATCAACCAGAAGGAAAAGAGAGAGATGATCTCAAATACACGCAAAATATACTGCAAAAAATTAGCAATAACATAATATGGTTAAGGAGTGGCCACATGTGGATGTAAAATATTCTATTTTATAGAAACTAATTTGCAGAACATTGTGTTTTCCCATTATGAATAGCAATTTGATTTAGGTCTCATGAAAAATCAACCAACTCATGGCCATCAAAATAATTTACATTGCTTAATTATGATATCTAACTGCAAAGTATATGTATAAAAGGACACACTAGGCACACAATTAATGGGTAACCTAGCCTAAAACAGTTCATTAGTTTTTAAAGGATTATTGATTCACAGATCAAAAGGCGGCAATAAGAGATAGTTAAGAATTTAATCTTCTAAATGAAAATATTTTATTAGAACAATCAATAACATAAGAGGTGTAACCCACATTGGTTGCAGTTGCAAACTTGCATGTATCAAAGATTCCACACCTTAGAAGTTTATAGCAGAATAAAAGTTCTATGATTGTGCAATTAATCTAAATTTCTCTTCTTTATTAAAGACTTTTAAATTTCCAACCAAGTATTTTTGATACCTTCATCTGGTAAAAATTCTAGAACGTTTACAATACTCAGCTAACTACATTGACCATGTCTTTTAGACTTCAGTGAACACTTGCCATTTTGTAAGTCATTAGCGGCATTCCAAAAATGTCCGGGTCGAAAGGTGGCTTTCAAATTGAGTTCCAAATAAATGTTTTCTTACAAAAGTAGTGACGATGCCATATGAAAAAAAAATTGGAAAGGAAGAAGCTCAGAGAATGGTAGGCAAATCACGTTTCCATGCACAGGATAACTATAAACAAATAGATAGGTGGAGATAATATAGATATTCTTTTTCATACAAGTTTGCATCTATATACTATAAATAACATTTGTTTGCAAAAATAATGCATTACCTGAAAGCGAACAGATTGGTTTTGTTGGGCATTGTCCCTGAGCCATTTAATAGCTAATTGAAGTGAAGGAAATACCGCACTATTGGCACAACTCTTAATACTTCTTTCTATATCATCCTTACCTTCTTCACAAATGAGGTCTGCACTCTTGGCATCCCCTGATAACAAGTCAACAATCAAATAGAATTACCCAGCACTCCAATTAAAAAAGTTGTCTTCCTTGCAGAACTGATTTCTAAACAATCTTAATCAATAGAAAACAAACTGAATTTGACCGAAACTTGACATAATTTTCAATTTTTTTTTTTTTGGGGGGTGGGGGCGGTGTTTGGAATAATGAAAACAAGGATCAAATTTCATATCAGAGTGTTGTTTCAGTCGACTCAAAAACAGAAAATCAACAGAAACGACAAAAAAAAAAAAAGAAAAAGGAAACGCATTAAAACATAAATCAAATATACGAATGCATGAAGATGAGCAAAATAATTAACTAATTGGAGGTGTTTTAGGCCTACACATCCATCCACACTAAAAAACCATTAGAAGGAATTATGAAGCGAATGGATGTTATTCTCAATTCATCAAATAATATCAAACAGTTCTTCACTAGTAATTAGTAAAAATATTATAAAGCTACTTTTTTAATGTAAAATTGAATTATTGTAATTAAATATAACACAATTATAAGATAGGCATGCACTATGTGTTCAAATATATTTTTCTACAAGCTACATATAAAATAACAACCTAAATAAACAATTAGCAGACTTATACTACAATACTTAAGACCAAAATATTGCAATTAACACTCTCCTGCATCTTTGTTTTCTTTACTTCCACTTCTCTTTATTTTCTATTTTTCATAGAAATCAATATTATCTTCTTTTGTATTTGGGTTTTAATTATTCAACAATCACTCATTTGGGGAAACATAGCAACTACCCATTGCCATTTTTTCTCTGCATCCTTGTTTCCTTTACTACAATAATTAAGAACAAAATATTACAATTAACGCACTCCTGCATCCTTGTTTCCTTTACTTCCACTTCTCTTTATTTTCTATTTCTCATAGAAATCAAAATTATCTTCTTTTGTATTTGGGTTTTAATTATTCAACAATCACTCATTTGGGAAAAAATGAGATAGGACCAATTGCCATGTTTGAGAATTGCTAGTGAGTATTGACACTACAGGAAAATTTTGACTGTCACACTACATTTTTTTGATTTTTCACCCATGTTGATGCAACAGGTGGGATCATTTCAGCCATTTTGATGTAACACAAAAGGAAATATTGTTATTGAAGCCAAAAGTTCAATAAAATCCAGACCACTGCCTAACAGGAATTTATTTAGCGAGAAGCAAGACGTACGAGTTATGCCAATTACTTTCAATTTGTGAAGCATGTTGCTGAGAATACAAGGTCAGACCAGGCAGACTACCGTCTTCAAAACTGAAAAAGGAAAGAAATTTTTTTTATTACATGTAATGTAAGAGTGATACCTTTTTCACCATGGATAAGATTTTCCCATACTCTTTGAAGAGTCAGCTGCCATGACAGGTCAACTTGAGCATCAGTTGGTGGTAGGACACTAGACCCAACCTTGTTATACACTGATATGTTTGGTACAAACAGTGCCTTCTTAAAGTGGACTCCTGACACATCAAACAAATATAAGTACCATGAATACCGAATACAGGAGTGATTTTCTCTGGATGTTACTCAGCATTTACACAGGTTGGATGATTAATATTCTCAACTGTCCACTCTAAAATCACCCAAAAAGAATCACGCGTAGCAGGTACAGAATTTCATGCATGTTGACTATTTCTTCCACAATTCATGCAGATCTAGCATATATTTGACTATTTAATTCAAAAAATCTCGCTCAAAAATTTACCATGACTAGCACATGCATTCATCAGGCATGGAAGAAGCATCTGTGGGTCCCTCACTGACATACAATTGAACAACAAGATCTGCATTTTTTCAATAACTTGAGTTCAGAAGCATTTAGAGAAACAGAGTATATTTGATAGATGGATTCAGAATTTCACAAAAGATTGGTGCTTCATAAGTACTACAAGATTAAATATTAAATTTATAATTCCCAAAAGTAACACACATGTTAGACATACATTATATGATTGTTTCGTTAAGGTGATGCTAATTTTGGATTGACAACTGGATGAAAGATATTGTTCTGTCTGAATATGCCAATGATATTTCTGTATTCTTCTCTTTTTCCAAATTCGAGTATCACCGACTTATCAGAAAGAAAAATTGAGTGTCATTGTGTGAACAAATAATAGGAAAAATTTAGAATTTGACCAAACTGATATTCCATTAAGTGAAGATATCAAAAGCAAGAGTCACGCAACTGCTATTTACTTTTTATCATGTTGTAACATGATTTTTCCGCAGGGTTCTCCTACCGGCAAAGCATTGTATTTTACCAGAAAGGGAGGCACAAAATACTTGATACATTTTAGTGCATGTACATTCAGACAAAGATCTATTGTTTGGTTTGGAAAGTATTGAAATGTTACCTACCCCTCCTAGAAGCAAAAGCGCTTCAACAGTAAGGATTGGTGATCTGACGGATCAGATTTGGCAGCACTTTTGCAGACAAGATAGTGTCCTTTCTAGTTTTGCATGCTTATTGGTCTATCAATCTGGGCCTACAAAAGCTATTTCTCCCATATTTTATTTAAAAAGAATTATAGAGGTAAAGCTCTTGCATTACTAAGATGATGCTACACCTTGCTGGCCAATTCATTGCATGAATAACAGTTGAGCTTTCTCCAAAATTCACATGGATAAGTGAAATGTGACATGCTGTAAAATTGGTACCAATTGAACATGAGAATCCTGATAACTATGTTGGCATATGAAGGGAAATGAGTACAACTCTTAAAATTTTATGGAGCTGCAAGCCACGGTTGCTGGGCTGTCTCACTGTAACAAATAGGATTTTATGATATTAAAATTTAATACAACTCTTGAGTTCTCAATGAGAAACTGTAGAAGAAAGGAAGATACTGTAAAGAACAGATATCTAGTGAAGAACCTTTAAAGATCATTAATCTAGTTTAAATTTTATCACCATCACTTTTAGCACGGGTGTGGAAAAGTTGCATGTGAAGCATCCAACCTGCATGCAATCACCTTCTTCTTTTTTTTCAATGTTCTGTTACTTCTTCTTCAATAAGTCTCTCCATATTAAATTACAGTTAGATTAGGTAAGTTGAGTTCCATTTATCAGTGTCGCAATTAATATCTTTCTTTGATTTTACTTGAAGCTTTTTTTTGAGTAAAACACCAAATATACTTTTTCTGTCCTATTTCTTTTTTGAAGAATAGAAGACCATGTCACTCCCATCTTAAATTTTAATTAGGTTTGGTAAGTGGGAGTTTCATTTATCAGTGTCATAATTAATATTTTTCTTCAATTTTACTTGAAGCTTTTTAAGTAAAATGTCAAATATCCATAGGGGTTCATTTTGGAATATCTACTTGTTTCAGTTAATAATGTTTTCCATACGGGTTCTTGCCCAAACCTCCGCTTGCCATGATAGTTAACCTCTATATACAATCGGCTTTCAAATTATAGATTCCAAACATTCGGCCAATAAATTCCTCAAATAATATAGATCTAACAAGGTTTTAAAAAGTTGTATGTACCTGTTTGGAGTCCTTCCTGGAAGTTTCATGATGAAAACTTTGTGCCAATTCATTCGAAGTTCTAGTATTATCATTTGGCTGACTATTCAAGGAGTGCTGCTGTTGGTTACCTTCCTTGATTGCAAGAGAAAACCAATTTGCACATACTTCCATGCTTTCAGGACTATGGGCCCCATCCAAATAAAATATCAAATCTCCTGCGCTTTCAATTTCATTGAATTGATGAGGGATGATTTGAGCCCGTCCTTGCAAATTTGCTGTTGTTAGGCCTTTAATGAACTGCTCGGGCAGAGAGGTCTATTTACATGCAAAAAGGAAAGAACATAAAACAAAAAACCAAGCTGTGGTGGGAAAGAAAAACTACAATTTGATGAAACTTACAGTGCGTTCCAGGTAATTAAATTCAAGATGGCCAGTCCTTTGAAGCCAAGTAGAGCATAATGCAATGGCAAGACCAGCATTGGTATATTGGTGTTCACCTTCAAGCCCAAGATGTAGACCACTCAGCAAATTGGTGTCCAAAGGGGTTGCTACTTGCAGTTTTACCTGTAATCAGTATGAATTGCTCAACTAAGGGTTATATGTTACTTGTGTTCTCCAATTTAGCATGCAGCTTAGTTGATCCATGATTTATGTTTCATCTTTTGGAATTAGATTCACAACTTGAGCTTCTGAGCCGACCAATAAAAGTTTTAAAAAAATTCTATAAGTTACAAAATATTGGCCAGCTTGCAAAAACTAGTTCAACACTTAACTTCTCTGACAAACTATAAGTAACTCGGCTGAGAACCACAGAGATGGAAACCATCTTTATTTCCTAGTTTCCATAACAAGTCATTTATTTCTTATGGTGGCAAGCTAAAGTATTGAAGCTCGGCTGTGTCATCAAGGAGACTAACACAAGTCAATATTGATAATTGGACTTAGGCTTTGAGTCATTGTTTTTTGGTCTGTGGCAAATTGAACTGGCTAATTAAAGACATTTGGAACTTACATCCAACTGGGAAGCCTTCTCTTCAAGCACATGCATTGCTTCATCAGGTTGGGGCACAGTGAAGGCTGGAACTCCGCGCTGCATCAATAGCGGAAAGCAAGAAAAATAGTAAAAACAAGGGGGAAAGATATGAAGGAAACAAATAAAAAGAGAAATTAGCAGAAGAGAGCGAATTTCCTTTGGATATAAGAAGCATTCCTATGGTAATACATAACAAAACAAAATGAGATTCTAAAAACACCTTGAAGATACCAGCCTTTTCTCCAGCAATTTCGCCAAGAGTATGTCCTGTTTATAGTGTATTTTACAGAATGAAGCAATTATATGTATTAGATCTGATTGCTAAAAAAGTAGCATGAATATCCAAACTAGATCTAACACTTAAGTACAAATCTAAAATGAACTTTTCCAAACAATGAGGAAGGTGATATATAGGCGAACTCTAATTCAAATTACAGTGTCAACTTTTGCAACCAAGAGGCATTGAGCTTAAATTCTGATGCAAGGAAGTTAAACCAACAAATCCTTCTGTAGCATTTTAGGTAATGCTCTGATTCCTTCCAAGATTTGTGGCTTTACATGCTCCCCAGATTTCATCACACAAAACGTGCAAAGCTGAAAGTGATACTCTTGACCCAAAAGATTGTATGTGTATCACAAAAAATATGACATCATATGGATTAAACAATGTTCACGTTTTTACCACCTTATAAAGAATGTGTTAGCAGGATGTACTTCTAGACAAACTCAGCAGTAAGAAAGCAGACGTATGCATACATGAATATATTTATGAAGCAATGACCCTAACTCTTTTAGTCGAGCACAAGTTGAAGAAGAAGTTTTCATCTGGATATTTTCACTTTCTAAACCAAAGCAATCAGTATTATTTAGATTGTAGCAAGTTCTTAAACATTCAAATTACAACATAGCACGATAAAAATTAAATTGGTTATATTACTGTGACTAGAGATTAACAAGATAATGGTCAGTGCAGCAAGGATTTCATGTCACAACTCAACTAGAATGCATGGATTTTAGAAAATGCATTGATCTACTAGCATGAATTTTGGTTGTATGTTGTAATATGCAATCCTTGCATTTTCATAAAACAGTAGCAGCGTATACTTAAGGGTTTAAAAGTTTTGAAATTATACACTAAAATAAGGACTCAGTTACAAAGAATTATGGAGATAGAACACTAACCAAGAATTTCCATGTGGTCAAACCCAAGGGAAGAAACGCCACATACAATTGGTTTCTGAACCTGAAAATGACAGCATGCATCGTCATATTACGCATATTCTAGGATAGGTAGTGTATTCTACCAAGAGATTACTGATTATCTAATTAACTAAAACTTTGGACATTGTTCTCCAAATTGGATGGAAATTTAGAATTGTGCATACCACATTTGTTGCGTCAAACTTTCCACCTAACCCAACCTCCAAGATAGCAACATCTACCTGCATAAAAATAACATCCACTTTGAAGTAATGTTACTAATACAACTTCATCCAATAGAACAAAATGTAAGGACTAATAAATGTTGCAACTTGTCTTAAATCTCTATAAATAACTAGAATAAACAGTATATATAGAGTATCACATCACTTACTCGCTCTGCTGCAAATATCTTGAAAGCAAGTAAAGCAAGGAAGCGAAAGTAAGTAGGCATTGGCACATCATCACTGGTATTTTCCTGCAAACGAACATCCATAGGAACAACCAGGAATGAATCCATCAAGCGCACAAATGGTCCAAAAGAAATATTTCAAAGTAAATAAGTTCTTCACAATCTAACCAATTGATTACTTCAATATATGCTTACTATGACAAAGACCAATGTCTTGAAACAATGTGATTTGCGTAATTTCCTATGAAATTAGGAGCTTGGAATAAGTACCCAAACTAGTCGGGTAATAATTATTAGGAGGTCAGCCGATGATCATTTTTTTCCAACTACTATTCCTAATCATTTCTATACTTATATTTTCCATGAAACATAGTATACCCATTTAGTTTCTTACAGAATATTGACCTTCCCTATAATCAAAGTCTCTACTAACTCCATCCGTTTACTTGTTAATGTTCCTAAATTCCATCATGTTGTTCTAAACCTAAATTCTTGGTCTTGCTACTTTACTTGCCCTTGTCCAGTATAGAATGAAACCCGTGCCCACTTTTCATCAAATCAAAGCGTAGATTTGATGCACCATACCATTTTTCAAAGCACTCATGATTTGATGCCGTACATCTTAATGTTTACCTGAATATTCTCAGATTCATTTTCATAGGACCTGACAAAGGTTTTATGCTAGTTGCCAGCAACCTAACACAACCCTCCTTTTTTTAAAATAAAAAAAAAATTTGAGAACTGTTGTCAAAGGATAAGACAATAGACAGAACAAATATGCGGGTAGAGGGGTTATTTCAAACTTAAGCCAAGGAATGAACTTGATTTACACCAAGCAGGCCAATTTTCATGGTTCATCATATATAAATTCCCCACCCCCCCCCCCCCCCGAGAAAAAAAAATCTCAATGTAACAGATCAAATACATTTTTTATGTGGATAACATATTGCTGTGCAGTCACTTCTACAATGATTAAGTTCTGGAGTATTTCTGAGATAAATTTATGTGATTCAAGGATATCGTTACAAAAAATAAGGTGAAGTAAATAGTAAAAGGGGGGGAAAAAAATCTCAAGACATGACTTATCAAAAAAAAATATCTCTAAGATATGATCAAACAGCAACATTCCCACTATTTACTTCTGCAATATCTATCAAATGATGCATGAGAAGACCACGTACAAGGTTTTTCTAAGTGAGTATTCAAAGCAAATTAAAGAAAACAAAACGGATATAAGGGTGCATGCCTTCAATCTGTCCCAACACCACCAGAAGTACGCCAAAAACTTCTCTTCACATATATCCACACTGAAATGACCAGTTAAAATGGAGAATTTAACAAATGCATGTTATGATGAGAAAGTTCGCAAAGTTATAACTGCTACAAAAGAAGGTTCCAAATCAGAAATAAGTTTATCAAACATGCTATAAGAAGAATACGTGTAATTATTTACACTGAATAAAAAAAAGGGGTTATTGATAATGCTATTCGTAATGCATAGTTTTTCCACTTAAAAGGGGGTCTGAATTTTCACTTAACACTAAACAAGTTTAGATGAAGTTAGAATGAAATTGTATTGGAAAGTTTACCTTTACATATTATATAAGCAACTTCAATGCTACTGATTCAACAAAAATATTTTCAATACAAATCTTCGGTTTCATTAAGGAGCCCGTAATAATTTTCTATGCCCAAATTTTGGTAACCCTGAGATTACAAAGAATACCACGTTTCAAGAGATGTTAAAAACTGTTATGTTGAGCCATAGCCACAACTGGCTAAAAAAATCAGTCCAGTTTCTTAACCTGAATTCAATGTATTATCTCTCTGAGCCCACCCAATTAAACATTAGAAAAATAAAGATTAGTTAGTAATATGTTTGCATAAACTCGAAAAACTTACCCATCCAACCGAAACCTTTCTCGGACATCAATGAGGTGGGGAGATGTGAAAAGCCCAGTGCGGAAGCCACAATTACGCAAAATAGATTCCGTGAATGTGCATGTTGATCCCTTCAGATATACCAATATGAAAGAAAAAATCAGTGTATAACCAATAAACAAACAGGGCCAATAGTAGATTAAAGTTTTAACGTCGTCTAAATTCTCCTAGTGACATCATTTTAATTTACGTAATACAGTACGATGAATGTTGAGTTAGGAATTTAGAATGATGCTTTAGAATAAAAAGGTTTTAAGCAGTGCAAACTAAGTATGAAATAGGAAGTTCAATTCAGTAATTCTAGGTTAAAAATGAAATCATATATAAAACTGGTAGCCAAGAAAGCCCGTACATTATTCTTGTTGACTTCAATCATTCACAATGACACATGGTGAATAGCAAATGGCTAGTAAAAGTTCAACATGGTAAATAACACAGAGAAGTGCCTCTAAACTGCTTCATGATAGAAACATACCTACCAAACTGAAAAGGCCACCAAATAGTGCTGATATGATGATCCTACCAATATCAGTTGGTGGGAGGAGTATAATAGGTACATACATAATCTTTGACTTTGCTTAATTTGCACAAAGTGTCTGCCATTAAACTCAAACTTATAATCTCACATTGACAGCCCATGCTCTCATCACTACACCAAGCAACAGATACAAAAATGACGGTAAAATTATTTATGATATGGCTATTCTCAAAAGTGTGGTTTGTATACTACATAGACTGAGCATATCAAAATGAGGGCAAGTGGCAGAATCAGAAGTGTGCAATCAATAAAGTTGGAGGTGTCACCAACTGGAAACAAGGTGTGAAAAAACTAACTTCTTTAGACATGAACAGCGAAAATCAATGATTGTGGTGTTAAGAATATTGAAATGGTTTGAAAGTGACCAATCAATGAAGGCCTATGAAAAACATAATTTCTCCTGGGAACGCATTGCAATTAACTGATCTAGACACAAATAATCATACCGGTCATTATTAAGTTGAGAATCCAAATGTCTCGGCAAAAATCTATATATAGCAAAGTGAACAAGCTACAGTAATTCATTTAAGAATTAGCTTCAGACATAGTTTATTCAACCCTAACAAGAAGAATTGGGAAACCATTACCTTCCCTTTGGTGCCTGCTACATGGATAACCTTCATCTGTGAAATTGCCTCATCCAATTCCAGCATCTAAAATTCACAAAATACGTAAATATAAGCTCAGATGCGAAGCAAAACATACCAGATTTGCAAATTACCAACAACAGAATTACCTTGAGATAATCAAACAGCCAATCAAATCTATCACCACTGTTGCTTTTATCCGCACGAGTACGCTTCGTAATCAAAGAGGACAGCGCATCCATTGCCTCGTCATAGTGAGACTGATTAGGTTTCAGTGATCCAATCTCATCTTCAACTACACCAAAATCAACATGTAAATAAATAACACATTGCGTGTTTCATTATTCAACATATTTCAATGATTAAATCGTTTCAAAAATGAAATCTAACATAAGATTATAAAAGCAACCATATATGAACTCGAAAGGATAAAAGAAATCGAATGATGTAGTAATCAGAGAAAGAAAGAAGGAATGAGTAATACCTCCTGGCATGTTGATTTAGCTCTGCAATCTAAAACCTAAATAAAACGGTAAGCAGATGATGAAATTTATAAGGACAAACTGTATATATAGGGAGAGAGAGAGAGAGAGTGTATAGAGAGAGAGAATAACCTCAAGACTCGGATTTCAGTGACAGAGAATTTATTCTTTCGTATTTGTAGTTAGCCTGATTTCTCCTTTTGGTGGTGGAAGTATGACGACGACACAGTGGAGAAGTGAGTGACGGTACAGTGAAGAAGTGGAGTAGATGAGAGATGGATTGGGATCGTTCAAGCCTTTAAGTTCAAGTTCTGCCAAATGATTGGGATTGTGTGTGCAAACAATGAGAACAATTGACAATTATTGTGCTCCACCAACTGACGTGCATTTTTTTTATTTTTCAGTGAATTGCCAAAAAGGACCCCAAGGATGATTCTCGTGGAACGGTTTAAGTACCAAAAAAATAATTATATATATATATATATATAAATGATGGGAAAAAGTTAGGGCCTGTTTGTTATGTGTTTTACTTTGGTATTTTTGTTGCAGGGCTCAATTTCAGGCCCAAAAATATGTTTGGTAGCCCTTGTTATGTTTTAAACAGTGCAAAAATATTGTATTAAACAGTACACAATTTTGGCCTAAAACTGAAACACCGAAATGGTATTTTTATTGTTTCTGAACTGTAGCCCAATAAAAAGAACTGTAGCGCTTGAAGTAAGTTGGGTCTTGAACTGTAGCGGAGGAAGTAACTTTAAAACGTCGTCTGCAACACTTTGGCCCGATCTTTTCTCTCTCCTCAGAAACGTAGAGAAGGCGATTTGGGAGGCGAAAGGGAATCTGAAACCCTAGAGAAGGCGATTTGGGAAGCGAAGGGGAATCGCAAGCACGAAGTCTTTGAAAAGCACAAAATCGGAAGCACGAACTGTGGTGAGTACTCTCTCTTCTATTTCTATCCTCTTTAAACACTCTGTCTTCGATTTAGTTGTGAAACAAGAAGACTGTGCTTCTCATGTAAGAGTGCTTGACACAGTCAATGTTAGAAAAACTGGTTTTGCTTGTTCTTTCCCGAGTTTGTTTACATGCGTTCACTAGGATATTTTTAGCAGTGTAGAACATTGTAGGAAGCATTGTTTCAATTATTTTTGGGGCAATAAGCTTGTGACCTACGAAGCTAGATCCCTTGTATTTTTGTAGGTTGAATATAATATATATATATATATATATATATATATATATATATATATATATATAACTTCGTCAATGACATATTTCTATGTAGCGGTGAGAAGTTGCTTGATGTCAACTGGTCTGAATTTCTAGAAGTTAAAAGGGAAAGTAAGATTAAAGGCTTTTGAAAAATATATACAAGATCTTCCTCGCTCACGCAATCGGGGATTGATGGTAAGATATTTTCTTCTTTCTTCTGCGTATCATAATGAAATAGACTATTTAAATCATAACCAAGTGCATGAATAAACCATATGCAAGATATTTTCCTATGCAACTGATATTGGAAATGAAAAATTACCTTGAGGCTGCTAGAATTGGGCTTATAACGCATATCACTCGACCCATAAAAAGAGAAATATTCAGATATATGCTAGAATTTTGGTGATCTACACAAAAGCTGCATTATTAAATTTTTTGCTTCACTTGGACATCATAGAATTCAGGAAAATTGTTTACATCCTTTCTTGGCATTTGCTTCATTGGCATAATTTTGAGGAATGCTTTGTTTTCAGTTGCAGCATTTTATAATTTCTTTACTTATGATCTTAGATGTGTTAACTTAAATGTGGTTACTTTTTAATATTTGGGGGATAATTTGTTTTTGAATTATGTTTTTCTAAGGAAAATTTTGTTCATAAAACATGGTCACATGACTCCGCGCCTTTAGACATGGTCGCTTCTCTAATACTCGTTGGACACGTGACCCTCGCACCTTAGACATGGTCACCATGGCCTACGAGGGTTGGTGCTTACCATAATAGCATCCATTTCTTTATCTTTTAAGAATAGAAAATGAAAAGGACTATAGTTTGAAGGATAATTACCTAATAAACTAGGGGATGAATTTATAGATAACCTTTAAATGGCTCTTAATCAATAAGAAAATCTCTGGAACACCTTATGAAAAAAAAAAAAAAAAAAAAAAAAGAATGTAAAATAGGCCCTTTCGCCCTAGCAACCAAAAGAGATGCCTTGTTTTAATCAATACTTTGCAACACTTCCATGTCAAGGGGACATGGAATGAACTCCTTGGTATCCAATTCAAAAAAAGGATATATGTTCACATTGGTCATGACAAAAGTTGTACATTGGTTTTCAAGCTAGAAGAAGTTGTGTGGAGTCCCTATCTTGTTTTGTTGTGTGGATTATTTGTCCTGTTTATTTTCATTTGGAACATGTAACAGTATACATACACACACACACACACACACACACACACACATATATATATATTTTAATCAATTTATGCTCTTCTATATCGACCCTCATTGTCTTTCAATAAGCGTTCACATTAGTTTCCTTCCAAGTTCTATACTTAAACAAATTTTGAACAAAACACCATATGCTCGTCATTTTTCCTTTGTGCCCATGTGCCTTTCATGTTACAATGTAGGACTTTTCATATTCTACTTTGACGAGAGCATGGGCTCTCCTGAGAAGTAAAATCTCCAGCAAACTTGACAATGGTCACACCGTTGTTAAACCCCACTTGTACGTCTATTAGTTTTTGTTCCCAAGGACTATTAATATTAGAGGTGAAGCTAAAATTCTCCAGGATGATCATAAATTTTTATCAACTATGTGAGGTGAAGTCTTCTAATAAGATGTGCTATAATCAAAATGTTTTGTACCAAATGAAGACTATACTAATCAATGCTGGTGAATAGAACTCATTTATCAATTGAACTTAAAGGACTAAATAAGAGAGTTTACTGTGTACGCTTCCTTCCTTCACCCTTGAGATTGAACCAATTATAATATCTTAGACGTAGACATTTTTCTTATTCATATATATGCTATTAATTGATCTGAATCAGGGTATTTGCCCTTTCATCATTTTGTAACTGCTCTCTTGAAGTGACTAGTGACAAAAAAAAAAAGAAAAGAAAAATTGAGTGAGCTGGTTTCACAATGTGGACGTAACAAAAAAAAAATTTAATTTAAGACGAGGACAAAACAAAAAAATATCTAATGCAAGGAAGTGTAATAAAACATCACATGTTGAATCAGATTACATATTTATACTACATTTTTTACTAAATTTAATGAAAAGACCACCATGATTTGTTGAATCAGAAAATTCTCTCTCAACATTGGGTAAGAGGTACCTTGTTGAAAGAATCTAATACGAAATTCCCCAAATTCTGCTCTATATGTCAATGTACACTTTGAATTTGCTATTGACAGAAATGTGCACATATGGATGTGGTAAATGGTGAACATAGAAATGTGAGATTAGTTATAATGCCAAAATGTGGCGTGCAGATTAGTGAGCGTACCTACTTGTGCTAGGAACAAACCTTTTTACTCGGAAGAATCTCAGTCAATTCGTTGGAAGGGGAAACATCCTTTAAGTTTCCTATGAAGTGGAAATTGACTATTTTAATATTACTCTCACTAGGTGTCTTGTTCCTTAGAAACATTCAATTGATTCCCATGCAATGAAGGAAAAGAGTTTGAACAGACTTGTACTCCCTAACCTTTACATACAAATTTTAACATGTACAAATGATTATATTGTGGGTAATAGTGTCTGTGGTATAATAACAGACTTGTTTTTGACTTGGACAAAGTTACTTTCCTTCTATTAGAAAGAGGTTCTTTGAAATGTCAATTTCATTCTTTTGTTTGACCTATATTTCATAAAATGGTTGAATGCAACACACATAATTTATATAATTCCCTGTAGTTTGGAAGAACATATTATTTTGGGAAATACCAATCTCCAAAGAAAGCAGAGGCCTCTGTGGTTTAACCTATCAATTGATCATTCTTTAATACTACTTGTTTGTTTACCACAGTGACATGCATGACAAACCTGTCTCAAATGTCAAAGTACTAACATTTTAGGGCGAATTTCACATACACCCCTAAGTTTGGATTACAATATCATTGAAACTCCTTTGAGTTTGGACAAATCTCACCCAAAATTATTAGTGAAATTTTGTAAGTAAGAGTGCTTCCTTTCTTCTCTCACGTATGTGCACTATTATTTTTTTTTGTTATTAATTATTGTGTTGTTATTAATATGTTAGATGGATATGAATGTTGAGAATGTGGAACAATGCGGTGATTCTCTCACAATTGAAGAAGTGGCTGAAGTTACGAACGATGGAAAATTGTTATGGGATGAGTCACCAATTGAAAAATTCGTGAATATTATGGTGGAAGAAGTTAAGGCTAATAATAGTGGTGACACAACATTTAGTAAAAGTGGTTGGAGTAATTTAGTCAAACAAATGAATGTTCATACGGCGAGAAAATTTGGTTTAACCCAACTTCGGAATAAGTTTAATGGTTTGAGGAAAATTTATACTGAGTTTAAGAAATTATTATCGGAGACTGGCGTGGGATATAACCATGAGACGGGCATGGTTATAGTTGAGGAAGAGAGATGGGACAGGTTGTGCAATGTTAGTAATTTAATTATTAGTCATAAATAAATAATAAAATCTTGTATATTATTGGTTATGTGGTTAATATTGTAACAAAATTTGTAGGTTGTTACGAATGCAAATAAGTATAAAAAGTATGGATGTAAGCATTTTGACAAGATGTCGACTATATTTGGGGACACATATGCAAGAGGGATGCATGCCCACCCATCCACTACAGCACCACCCACAATCATTTTGCCCACTCCCAATGATGACGATGATGAGGAAGAGGGTTGTGAGGTCAGTCCCCCCACCTTTACGTAAAGGTAAGAAAGCCAAAAGAGATGCTTTATCTCCTGGTATAGTTGTACTCTTGTCAAACATGAATGAGAATTCTGAGAGGAGAGCTGAAAGAATGGAAGCTGCAATAGAAAAAGCAGCTAAAACATCTTCTACTTCTACTCGTGTATCTTCATGTGAGAAAGGAGATGATGAAGTTCTCTCTCCCTCAAAAAAGGATAGAGATTATGAAATGTTTGACGCCTCCATGCTCCTTTTACAAAAAAATACCTGGAATTGAGATGGCCCAATTCGCTAAGGTATCGAAGTTATTACATGATTCTGAGAAGTGGCAGAAATTTTTTCTTTCTACACCTGAGGATGTAAGAATTGGTTGGGCACTGAATGTTTGAGTTTTTCTTTACGGATGATTGTGTTTTGTGTCATCGTTT